TCCTGCTGTGATTTATCTGTTATCTGGCTGTGTCACCTTCCCGGGCATTGGGCAGGCTGCGTTTAAGAACTTAAACGGGAGGTCAGGTGGTGGCGTGTGTACAATGGAGTCAACGCCTCCGGGCTCCATCGTTACCCACATCAGTCCCTTCTGTCTCGCCGTTCGTCTCTTGATGTTTCAGGGACACCTTTAGCAGGTGACAGTGTATCAGATGACTCCCTCCGTGTCCCCCTGCGCTTGCTTTGCCTTTCAGATGTGTTTCTCGTCGTAGCCGGGGTCTGCTAACAAGAGGGGGGAGGGGGGGGGGGGGGGAGTGTAGAGGGGAGGAAGAAAGAGGGTTGGCTGAACTATAATACTATTTGTTCTAGAAAGACTCTCTAACTTCCACACAGGCAGATCGGGGTCAAAACGTCTTCCAGTGTCTTTTCTTACTCCTCTGCATGAAGAAGAAGTGGCCCAGCCCGGGTGTAGACACTAATGTTTAGTGTGTGTGTTCCCTAAACGAGTGGAAATTGTAGGGAGGAGGAGGAGGTGCGTGTGTGTGATTCAGACCCAACCCCCCTCCGGCTCAACACTTTTCCCTGAGATCTGCTCACCTGCCCTGACATGCCCCCCCACCCTAACCCCCGTCCCTCTTCCTCCTCCTCCTCCTCCTCCTCCCTCATACATTACTCCCCCCCCTTCGGCGGCCACACATCAAAGAACCCCTGTGAGTAATGGATACCCATCCGGGCCACACCCTTCCCTCCTCCAGACCAACTCTTATGCCGCTGAGCCAGTGGCACCCGGCAATCAAACACACACACACACACACACACACACACACACACACACACACAGAGCAGTTATTCACACACAATTAGATTTAAATATGCCAGTTCAAAACAGGGTAAACAGTATTTGAAGCAAAGCTGTGCGTTTACACAGGTAGGAATGCAGTCACCAGGAGAACGTTTTCTGTCTCTTTTCTGATATTGCTCATTGAGTTCCAGATTCATTGTCTAATAAATCTTTCAAGTAATTAAAGAAAGATAAATGGTAATGCAGAGGATGTGGTTATCTTTATGCTAGCAACGTGGCAATCGGACTTCGGTCCAAACATCTCAGTAATCATTGGATTAATTGACATTTAAGTTTAAACAGACATTCATGCCCTCACAGACTTTTGGTTGTTCAATAAGAGATGACTGTGATGTCTGGAGGACTCGCATCTTCTGACAGGTAAACAGAACAGTGGACGAATCTCCAAAAGGTCTGTTGGCTCCATGAAATCATTAAATCCTGATACCTCATGTTACCAACAGACTAGCGAAGGTGCTCGAATCCTGGAGACGTACAGGGTTGAGTAATACCTGTCTCACCTGCACCCCACCTCCTGTCCCCAACATCATCCCCCTGTTGGTGCCATCTGCTCCTCATTTAGCCGCACGGCGACGTCCCAGTGCGCGGGTAATGGTTCCAGTGTGCCGGGCCAGTCAGGAGAAATGACAGAGCAGAGAGCCGGCCTCAGACCTGCAGGCCGGAGCGCTGCAGTCTGTCATTAGACACTTTCATGCAGCAGCATCACAGCCTGCTCGCCTCACTCCTCTCCCGCCCTCCTCCTCTTTTTTTTCTGCCTCTCACTCTCACTCTTTATTCCCACACATATTATTCCCCGATATAATTTACCCGTGCAATGAATGATCTGGAAAGTCACGCTGAGAAAAAGACAAGTTAGATTGTGTTGAATGGAGTCTGGCGGCGTGCTTTGAAGAGGCAGGAAGGGTTTTTGGAGAGCGAGGGGGTTTATGGCCGTATCCTCCACACATTCCAGCCTCCCCGAGGAGCTTAGGTCAAGATCATAATGTCTTACTTACTGGCTGCACTAATAAAATGTCCGTCCAAGTCATTTAGTCATAGTAAATGAAATAAATAAGAATCAAATACATTACTTCTCAACTTCTTCTCAACCTTTCTTTATAGACATTCAATTGTATAGTTACTAGTACTACTGTCCTGCTCTGTACGTTTTGCACACATATATGAGATTCCTGAAACAAGCCAAATGATCTCACTCCAGTGGCAGATCTAGTCAGAATACATAACAAATATGTTAAATAATGGCTCATTGTGAATGAAAATGACTCGCTAAGCCAGATGTATTGTTGCCCTGCGCTCACCACTGCAGATGAGTGACTTCAAAGTTTGTCTTTACTTCCCCTTTAATGGAGAAATTTGAATAAAATCTCAATTGGACTTTGAATAGAGTTCTGTAATCATAGATGTTCAATAAAAACACAGCAGATGTTTCCCTGTGGCTGAGGCTGAATGTATCTGTGTTTGTGTAATATTCTCATGCTCGCCCCCTCTCTTTTCCCACCGTTATGTTGGAACATGGCTGCAGATGAAGGGGTATTCGCCTTTTGGGTTGATTTTCTCGGCGCCGCATTAAACCCTTTGGACAAACGCTGAGATGTTGACAGGCGATGTTGTCAGGTGACAGAAAAACCACGGCGAGACCCTTAAAACGAGGATACGCCTTGATGTCAGGCCTGGCTCCCCGACAGCACAACCCGCAACCCAAGTAGAGTCAACTACCCGAGGGAGCATCCAGACGATTAATGGGCCAGTCAAATCAAATGGGCCAATCAGATGAGTCCCTTGACCTTGGTTTTAGAGGATAAGGTGGCAGGATACTGACAGTAAGCAGTGGGACAAGAAGCCCTCAAAGGTCTGCATCCTTAGTAGTGCTCTTTTTACATAGGCTGTTAGTGTGTTGCTCAACCGGAAGCCACTGGGGCAGATTTGTGATAATGGGGCAGAGAAAACAAAAACTTGACATAAGTGGACAGGAAAAAGAGACCAAATGAATCTTATGACTTCATGCTGGGCAGCAAATGTTTTTATTCCCCATGCTAACAGCGTGAGTATGTAGATATTCTACCTTTATGATCAAATGACATTCATTTGTTAAATGGTTACTGCAACAAAGGTCTACTGAGTATTAGTACATCGTACCTGTGGTATAAACTACAGGTACAACATACTATACACAACAACATACTTGAGCATTTTTCCTCATATACAGGGAGGCGCCAAAGTTAATGTTCAATACTTGTAGTAACTTTTAAAATACCCATAAACATTTTCCTTTTACACCTTAACAAAAAGGAGAGAAAAGGCAAGAAATAGGTTGTCTGTGGCAAAGGCGTACCTGCTAGTGTAACTGTGTGACCTCGCAGGGCTCCTGTCTCGCTCTTTGCCCTCATAAGTGTTTATGTTTGTGACAGCCGGCCTGTGTCAAGAACTATCCGCTGCTCCTCCTCGCTGAAATAATGTCCCCCTCTGTGGAAATCCAATCAGTGTTGTTTGTTAGTTTTTCAGCGATGACGTCCTTTCCCGTATACCCCTGGAAACCGCGCTCGGCTCCGATGCGGCAGTTGTTAATGTTTACTCAAACGTCAAATAGCATTGACTCACATGTGTCGAGTTGCACCTCCACGAGGCCTCCACCCGGCCTCCACCCAGCCACAGAGAATGTCTGCTCCAGTTCCGACCGTACCGGCCATGGCAGTCCCGTTAACTGGCCCTATTAGCGTCACAGCTTTTCCCTGCGCCATTAAAGGTTAAACATATCCTCTAATAATGATTTAATGAGATCTCTCGGGGCCTCTTCCAGGTCTTTAGCTCGTGGTGGAGTAGGGCTTGGCGAGCAGTCTGTGGTGTCACTACTGCGCTACGATCTAATACGACCACAGCAGCACTCATTGGGGAAGTGTATTATGGTATGTTTTTAAACTATAGGAAATTATTTTAAACTTATTGTGTGTGTGTGTGTGTGTGTGTGTGTGTGTGTGTGTGTGTGTGTGTGTGTGTGTGTGTGTGTGTGTGTGTGTCGGACCACAAGATCCCCACGATTACAGGCCATGTTCACTTCTAGTGCCGCATAAGGGAACTTTTGAACCACAGGTGAAGCAAATTCCCACATGTCACAGATCGAGCTTTTTCTTCTTTTCTCTTTTTTTTCTGCTTCGTGACCGCACCCCATTTAGGCCCATGCACGTACTACAATTACTGCTTTGATGAAACAGAGGAAAAGCTGTGGAACCACAGCTGAAAAACCAGATAAAAAGGGATATGTTCATTTTCTATTTGACCTCTCTCTGACAGTAAATACTACGGCCACCAGTATTTCTGTGGCGCAGTATTGTTAACTGTCTGCAAGAACACATGCACATAGTATTTAAGCTCGCAGATGGGCATTGAGGTGCTTTTTAAATACTGATCTGTAATGTACAGTACTTTGAGATTTGAGATACAACTATGACTTTCTGACAACAAATTAAGTTTCTTCATAGTCATGCATTGGCTTTTGTGATCTGAATTCCATGCACCCACAACACAAACCTGAGTGTGTGTGTGTATGTGCGCGTGCCTGCGTGTGTGTGTGTGTGTGTGTGTGTCCGTGTGGGCTCCTCCCTGCAGTGGGAGAGAAATCCCTGGTTGGTGTTGTGTTTGACCTGAGTTTAAACTTGTGTCTCCTCATCACGTTCGCCATGTTTCCACCACTGTCCTTCTTGTAATGAAGCCATTTGCCATTCTCACCGCTCTCATGGCATCAGCTACCTCCTCAGGAACAACCAGCTAACCGACACCGTTTGGGGAATACTGTAGCTAGTGGACATTTAAGCAAAGTTAAGCTACTTGCAGAACTGGGTAGACACAATATGAAAACCAGCTATGCTTGTTCACTATATCTTTTTAGCCCTAGTTTAAATATGAAGCGTACCCTTCATCAGATTCCTGCTTACACACTTTTTAGTCAGTCAGAGTCAGGTGGAAAAGGTTTGGCCTGATGCTCAGTGCGTTACTGCCACCTAGTGATGGCGGAAGACAGAGATGTTGTGCATGATGAGATCGTTCCTCCTGACTATCCTCATCACACGAGTGTACGAATCCCCTGAAAATGTCCTCGCTCTCCGTATGTTTAACTGTCGCCTCTCCTGTGTTTTCTCCTTCAGGCCCGCATGGCGTTGGACAAAGGAGCTCAGGCAATTATCTTTGATGTTAGTGATGACGCGAATGCTGCTGCTGAGGTGAGTGTGAAAACACAGAGCTACAGCTACGCAAACCTAGTTTAAAGACACAGCTAGAGCTCACAGAAAATATCACACTTCCATTGTACCGCACCTGCTCACAGCTTCGGGAATCGGACTCCCTTCTGCGTCCAGTCGTGCTGGTGGAGGGGAAGAACGCCGAAGAGTTGATGGGTCTGGTCAACAAGAACGAGGAGGCCAAAGTTATCATTGAGGTCATGGCGGAGCAGCCCAAATGGGTAAGCACAGAAACCCGTACACACACACCCACCTCTCTCTGGCTTTACCCACCACAGAAAGGAAGCCTTGTGAATGGCCATCGTGCTGGCGGAGAAAGCATGGTTATGATGTAAACGGACCTTCCAGTGTAGAGAGGAGAGGGTGGGAGACAGATCAACGGTGCTTGAGCACCCAGGCAGGGGTTCCTTTAAGTTTCAGACATGTTGGAATACTCTGTGAAATAAAACCCACATCTCGCTCTCCGTCCCTCCTCTTTTCCCTTCCAGCCACATTATGACGTGGGTATCCTGCTCACCATTGTCCTCGCTATTCTGACCATCGTCCTCATCTTTGCTTTCCGCTACAAGTGCAAGTCTAACAGGACTTGGGTGAGTGAAAGCAAAGTAGCCGTAGCTCAGTGGGAGACTGTTTTTTTTAAAGGGTTTCTTCCAACCCTTGCTTCTCATTCGTGCAGGACTCTGTCCATCAGCAGACCATACAGGCCATCAGTCGACTGGAGACCACAACATACAGCTCTCAGGGCTGCTCGGGGTCCCAGCGCCACCGAGCAGCCTGGGGGTCGGCCAGCAGCTCCAACTCCAGCCCCGTCTGTGCCATCTGCCTGGAGGACTTCCAGGACGGGCAGGTAAGAAGAGAGAGAGCGAGGGAAACATCCCGCGTCTGCAGATTCAACCGTCCTTTGTCAGCTGTTTAGCATTAAATCTACTTCTGTCTTGCTATACTCCCAGCATTTGAGGATCATCTCCTGTGCGCATGAGTTCCATAAAGACTGTGTCGACCCCTGGCTGCTGCAGCACCGCACCTGTCCCCTCTGCATGCACAACATCATGGGTAAGGAATAGCATATTTTCAGATCAACTTCATCACTATCTTCTTTGAAAATGCAGTCCTTGACTTGTTGCCGCCTATAGAAGGATTTTGGCCGGCTTGTAATTTCTGTCTTGACTTTAGATTTGATCTTTTGAATCAGCTGCAATAATTGCTTAATAATTAGAAGCCGTGTTGGAACTGATGTATATTGTGTAGTCTGACTGCCGCTGTGCTCCACAGGGACGGAGCGGCATCCCCAGAGGACCAGACTCCAGCAGAGTTCAGAGCAAAGCCAGAGTTTCCTGCACCCTCAGCCTTACAGGAGCGCACGCAACCACCTTATCCCCCAGCACGCCATCCCGTTCGCTATGAGGTCCCACTATCCTCGCGGACCCTCGGGACCTTATCCCTCGCTTGGCCACTACACGGGCCCGTCCGCCATGGAACCCCAAACACTACATTTCCTCGCCAGCAGGCCGCTCTCTGCTGGCTGCGGCTACCACCTTCCCGGAGAGGGTCCCGGGCGGCCCCACAGGATTGGAGGGAACTGCCGGACCTCCACGCACCACTGCACCCCCCGTCGGTCCTGCCACAACTATCGCTCATCCTGTCCAGCCCAGCGCAGTGCTTCCAGCTCACGTCTGCACCACCCCACCTCCGTCCCGCCGCAGCACCGCGGGGCGCCAGCCCACAATAGGCAGGACGACGGCAGCTGCTCGGGGGGCAGCTACCACACGGAACGCAGTGGGTACTTGGCCGATGGGCCGGCAAGCGACTCCAGCTCGGGGCCCTGCCACGGCTCCTCCAGCGACTCTGTTCTGAACTGTACCGACGTGTCTCTGCAGGGGGTTTATGGCAGCTGGTCCACCTTCCGCAGCTCTCTGAGCAGTGACTATGACCCATTTGTGTATTACGGGCCGGGCTCTGGGCGCCCCCCCCGCAGGGGCAGCCTGGAGGCAGGCGCCCAGGCCCGGCCCAGGTCTCTGGATTCTGTGGTGAACAAAGCTGGCTGCCCCGAAGAGCAGCCGCAGACTGTGTTCAGCCACATCCACTACCACCGCCACAGACACCACCACTACGAGGAGGCGGAGCACAGCCAGGGCCCAAGCAGAGGCTCCGACGAGGAGCAGGGTGCCACCGCCGCTGTTGCTGCTGCACCGGCTCCCCTTGTCCTTGAAAGAGACATGCCTGTTTGCCCTCCTAAGCACATCACCTGCCAGTGCCCAAAGCCCGACCCTGCGGATCGGCCCGGCGCTGGGACAGAGGGCCAGGACCTTGACCCCAGCAGCCCTACAGGACCTTCCGTACGTGTATCCTCCATCCCTTTACAGCTCCAGCCCCACTGCTGCCACCAGGGACACGGACACCCTACAGCTCCTCTCGGGCGAGTGGGTGGCTGTGTCCGCGATGGCCCCTCGGTCCGCTTCCACCAGAGCCTCGATCTGCAGGACGACCGGAGCATCCACATCCACTACGGTCAGGGCCCGGGCTTCTGCTGCTCGCCTCCTGATCTGCACCCGGCTTTGCTCCCCGTGCCCCTCATCCTAGACTCTGGAGGCATAGAGGACTGGCCTTGCTATGCAGGGGCCCATGTTGTGTGGCAAAAACGTGTGCAACAGGCCCACTCAGAGCCTCAGCTGCTGGGGCCGGGGACCTCTATGGACAGGCCACCCTGCAGGTTCCACCACGGCCCTGCTGCGGACACAGACATTTGTTTGTACTGCCAAACATTACACCACAATCAGGGTGGGTGTCTCACTTGCTTATGACATTAACAGCCTCTTAGACAGAGGGGATCATTTTGGTTATTAATTTCATAGTTTGGTATGTTGTTGGATCATGATGACAGTTGTTCACAATGGACAGTTTAATTGATTCACTTTTATTTCCTCTATCGGATAATTTCTTCACCTGTTTGACCTTGAGTGCAGTATTTTTTTATAACCAATAGGAAACATGGGGGAAATAACTTTAATCATCCTTTTTGACCATAACCTTTTTTTGTATTCTTTGTTTTCTTTTGCTTTTTTAGATTGTACTTTAAAGATGACCTGAGCTGTTTTTATGTCCACAGGATCAGAAGAGGAGTCTGGTGTGTGAGAACTCGTTGCATCCCTGTTTCCATGCTGCTACACAAGAGCCAGAATGGACAAGCCTCTCATTGGCTATTGCTCTTGTGTCTTCCACTTAATTCCACCAGCAATGCCTTCGTTCAGACGATTCCCCGGCTTCTTAAAAGCTCACATGCTGAAATGCTCTTTCATCTGAGTTAGATTGAAATCCACGTGATTTAATAATGCAAAAGAAATGTACCCGACCCTTTATAATGTTGTATACGAAACTATATAGAATTTGATGAATGTTGGGAAGTTGCTGGGGAAACAACTCAAACACAGTTTTTCGATTTGTCCTCATCAGTTCTGAAAAGGCATTAATTACCAAATTATATCACCAGTTCCCATGGTCTTTAGTGACAAGCAACGAATGATCCTCGCTCAGGGTGATGAGCCCTCTTGAAGTGAGACTCCATCTCTGCATTGCTCGTTCTATTACAACATCACTTGACTTTTTTTTTTAGAGGTACTTTCTTTCACTCGTGATCTTTGTCTTCCTTCTCCTGCCTACCTCAGCTCAGATTTCTTAACATGCCTCACACAGGGGGGGTCTTTAAAGGTACTGCTGTAGTGATGTTGTTTTGTTTGTTTTTGTTTTTTGGTCACAACCATGTAGCTCCCCATAAACTCAACAAGAAAGTAAAGTTCATGGCAATCCGAGCTGTCCAAATGGAGAGAAAGGTTGATGCTCAGCCCCTCGAATGGGAAGCATTTACTGAGGCGGCTGAGCCTTGCATAGGCCCTGTTTTCATTATTTCAACCATGGCAGCTGTTTTCAACACGTTTGTATTATGTGTTTGGATCATTTGGATCTGTTTTTGCAGTCCGTGATTATTATTTTTTAAGCTTTCAAAAGGAACCGGTTTGACTGAATTTCGTTGCATCATTGCGGGCTATTGTCTCGATCTCCTCATTTCTCTTGCCAAGGGCAAGGTCACATGTTTGACCTCAGTGCTGTCCAACACCGCAATCCAGGCAGAGTGAACAGGCCTCATCAGACATATGAGCACTAGATTGTCCGTTCCATTAGTGCCTGATTTATCGCAATGTTGAATTATCCTCAGAAAAGTGCCTATGCTCTCCAGTTGTCTTCCGGAAACTAAAGCCCTAGAAGTATTTTCTACATTGCAGCCATAGTAAGGAGATAGGGACTTTTTAATTATACAACTCGATTCAAGCCAGGCTGGTCTGCTTTTCCCAGGATTTCAAACTTGCCTGACAAATGTCGGGAATAATCAAACACTGGAAAAATGGGGGATAATTCATGTCAAAGTTACAGAATTGGTAAAACATTGTTTGTCGTGGTAAATGTGCATTGCTAATCCCTGCTAGTGTGGCTTCGAAGGAAGATCCAGCCAAAATCAGACAGTATTTTTTTTTTTAATTTTCATTTCATCAGATGAATAATTTTTCAATGATAAAAGACAGAATCACGGTTTGAATCTCTGTTACATATTTTCCCTCTTCTTCACATGGAGCCACTCAGGCAGACAGGTGGACAGAATATGTGTTTATACTCGAGGGGAATTACTCTGAACACTTTGACTGTGTAAGTAGAGGTCAAAAAGGGCTTTCTTAACCAGACAGGCTCAGTGAACCGAGATCAGACGTATAGGAATTCTGTTGTGGAGTGGACTTTCCATTAAAGCCTCGGTCCCACTTCAGATTCAGTTTAATAGCAGAGAAAAAGCTCATAGGTATAGCAATGCAACTAGTAGCACTTACTAAAGCCTCATATGTGCCTTATTCATACAGAAATGCTCACAATCCTGAATTAGGAATCTCCCAACACACTAAGCTCTTACCTGTCTGACCAAAGAGGCACAATCTTGAACACAGTGAACATATTAATTTATATATTGTGCCTTGTCCTCCTTAAATATCAGCGTGAAATGTGCTTTCGATAACAAGAGAGAGGATACAGGAATTAAAATGCAAACAATCAATATTTTGCATTTTTCACTGCAGTCCCGTTGTACTAATACCTCACCTTGAATGTGTCAACAGCGCAACATTGTCCAGCTCAAGTATCAGTGTTTCCTTGTCTGTTATTGTCACGTGTCGATGTGACAAAACAGTGCCGGCGGTTGAGATGGAAATGACTGAATTACAAGCAGCACTTTTACAAATAAGAAAACAAAATGAAACATGGTATCAAATTAGTAAAAGCCCAGAACCTCCCGCACATGAAAAATAGCGTTTAGAAATGCCACAAAATATCTGATGCAATTTCACCCTGTTCAAGATCTTTCTCTTGTGTTATTGTATGTGTTTGTTTTGTTTTGTTTTGTTTTGTTTTGCAAGAATAATGAGCTGAAACTGCCTTTTTATGAGTCTAAAATCCCTCCAGAACATTAAGGGATATGTCAGTATATTTTGGATACTTTGAGTACAAAACAAGAACAAAAAAAAAAACAGAAATGAAATAGTGTTGTATTTTATATATAATAGAACATTTCAATATAGTGACATGTCACTAATATATTTATTTACTAATATATTTATCCATTTTGTCCAGGTTTGAAAGAGTGGTCTCTCTAAAGACCAAATGTTTCTATATGGAAACTGATCAGTGCCATCACAGATGTATCAACCTGTCTTCATTCCAATTATATGCAAATAAATTATTTTGAAATACAACGTCTGTGCAAAAGACATTTGTTTTGCTGGAGAATCCGGAGAACTCAGGAAGTCAAATGTGTTGCGTTTGCTAGTGTCATTTATAAGGAATAGTTCACACAAGGTTACTCTACAAAGTTTGGAATCAGATACTTATGTACAGTAAAAAAAACATAATAAACATGGTACATGGTAATAAACTCCGGTCCGGCTTGGTTTCAATGCCACATGGTCTAAAATGACCCTTTTACCTTGTCTGATGTGTTTTTTTGTCCTTACTTAAATTCTACTTAGATTGCTCATAAAAAACAAATGAATATTACCACGCACGATATTCACCCCTGCAATGTCTTTTATTTATTTTTGTATTGTAACCGAACCTCTCCGGTCATAGCCGTGATATGTGATTATCATTTTTTGTCAAATCTAAAGAGCATTTAACACAAGTGAGGAGTTAAAAGAGTTCTTTGTGTTGTGCGTCACTGTTTAAGAGCTGTAAATGTTCTAATATTTTGATCTAAAAAAGTAGTGCACTGCGCTACCAAACGAAAAGATAAAGCAAAGGATCGAATGGAGCTGCGCCTTTTTATCTACTAATACATTTCGACTGGCATTGTACAGAGTACACAATGATCTTAATCTTAAAAGTCATACATTTCAGTAAGAAAGATTTATGTAATGATTAAAGTAGTCTGATGATTAAAGTAGGTTGGGTATTTCTTCATTCAGTAATACGGCGTGCAGGTAAGCATACCTGCATATCAGCATATCAGCACTTGCAGCTTGTCACATGAAGGCATTCAGTTTGTGTTTGATACACCAGGTTGTTGATTGCTCCTGACATGTACAGCCGTGTACAGCAGTAGAAGCGTGGCTTGGCAGCAGCAGCTGGAGGATCAGTTGAAGGCTTTGGACTGCCCTTTGGGTGTCAGCACAGTGAGGTTGCCCCTGGCCTCTTGGTCCTTCTCGATAGCCTCAAACAGAGATTTGAAGTTTCCTGCCCCTAAGCCCTGGAGAGAGAATGAGCGCTCGCAGATGGCTAATTACCAGAAGATCTACCGTCTTGTGTGTCATTTGTCATGGCCCCAAGGGGGTCTCCTCTCAAACACCGCTTGGAGCATCAATAAAACTTTGATGTGAGATCACAACAGATAAATATCTGTTCAAACACCCACTTCGCTTGGAGGGGAGCTGAGCTGACTAGGGGCTGGCTAATTAATCATGTAAATATTGTGCCAGATAATCAAAAGATCAGGTGTTTGTTGTCGCTCGGAGGGATTCTTTGCTGCAGTTCGGATTGCCTCCACATCTGCAGACTTCAGTGAAATGTTGCAGAGTGACAAGAGGGCCCTGTTCTAACAAGCGGAATGGGTAGTTGCTATAAATGGAGTGCCACAGGGTGCAACCCAATCCAACAATCCCAAGAGCCTTTTAATCTGTACCTGTGACAGATTTACTGAACTCCTGCAAGTGGGCTACTGTTCACACTGGGTGGGAGCTGCAAACAGGTGTTCAGACGGCTCGATCTCGGCTCCTTGAAGGCGGTGAATTAAAAAAACTGCACTACAAGCTTATGGATCCCACCATGAACACACATAATCAATAACCCTCCGTTCACCATTTGTGTCAGTAGTTGGTTTGAGTGGTCTGTGGCACTTACAGAGTGGTTGTTGTGCTGAATGGCCTCTAGGAAAAGGGTTGGTCGGTCCTGGACGGGTTTGGTGAAGATTTGAAGGAGGTAGCCCTTGTCATCAAAATCAAGGAGGATTTTCAATTCCTTCAAAGATAACAAAGTGTATTGTTTAGACAAAAGCAAAAGGGTTGTAAATCATCCCATGCTTGTTGTGGTTGTGTGCCACCTCACCTGTAAACGGTCAAGGTCCTCCTTGACCTTGATCTTGGCGGTTTTAAGGTTCTGCCGCAGTGCGTTGTAGTACATGTTGGGCGCTGAAAGGAACTCCATCCCTCGGGCGCGCAGGTTCACTACCTGAGTTAAGGGGAAAAGAAAGCGGGATCTAAAACTTGCCTCTGCTTGCAGATTTGGGGGGGTGCGTGAAGACGAGGTTTGTGGATTAATGTGAAATCTGCAGCTTAACGCAGGCGACTTACTGCCTGAATAATGTCTGATGTGTTGAGAGCGATGTGCTGAACACCTGGTCCTCCGTTGTAGTCCACGTATTCCTGTGAAGACGGAGAGGAACATAAGATGCACTGAGGAGGTGCAGTAAACCAGGAGGTGTCCCACAGTTTCAAATTGGTTCATTTACTACCAAATTGTACAACTGTTCCTAAAGCTGCTGCAGCCGGCGGTATATGAATTAATTAACCACTGTGATCAACCATTGTGATAAATCACTGTGATCAACCATTGTGATAAATCACTGTGATTAACCATTGTGATAAAGCACTGTGATCAACCATTGTGATCAACCGTGATAATCCCCTGCAAGTCTCCACAACACTCTAAAGTCACCTGGATTTGTGATTTTTTTCCCCCCTTGCAGGTTTATTAATGGGCATCTTGATGGACCTCAGTGAACTGTACTGTGTGTGGATCTGCTTGTCGTCTATGGACCAGAACCAATGGAACAGCGAACACTTTTGGTACCTGGAATTTGGAGAACACAAATAGAAAATGTGACGATAAGCTCAATGAATATCCCTTTTTCTCTTTTATTTCATAAACCAGTTATAGAGTAATGATGCACTGGAATATTGCACCAACATTACCCACTATGTGGGAGGTGGAGCGACTGTTTGTGTTGACTTGTCCTTTTGTCCTATGTGTCTGTTTTGCATGCAGTGTACGTTCTCTTATACAGTCCTACCAGTCGGAAATTGGGACCATGTGGTCATCTGGCTGGTTTCCCACCAGGTGATCAATGAAGTTTAAACCTGCTGGTGGTCTACAAACAGAAGAAAAAACAAAGCATTGCAGCGGTACTTTTCCATGAAGTTTTGGACATAAAATGTGAATACTTTCTTTATGTTTTGTAGCCCATGGTACTATCAGAGACTCACAGCGTAGCTAACAGAGGATCCCTAAACAGAGGCTCTTTGTAGCCCGGCAGGAAAAGGCCTTTGTAGGGGCTGAGGTACTCAATGAGTGTGTGCGTAGTATCTCCATACTGAGGACAAAACATGGACACAACATTATTCTCCCTCACCAGTTTTCTGTGTGTATTCTCATGAGGCTTTCAAATGTGCGTCCATCTTTACGTACCGTTTGAACCACAGCATACTTGACCCACCCCTGGCCGTCCCGCTCCTCCCAGGGTTCCCTGACAATTACAGCTCCGCGCTCTTTAGCCGTCTGTCCGTGGAGTAGTTTTGGGATCAGTTGGAAAACATAGCCTGACAACAGCTTTTACAGTGTGAAGAGCCGGAGCCCTCCAGTGGCTGCAGACAGAATACCTCCCTACACATGCCGTGATACACTTACATCTCAAATGAGACTAAAGGTTATTTCTGTGTGAAGCCAAAAGTCAATTTCGTGGTCGCCAGCTGATGCTTAACAGAGAGAGTTTTTTCAAACCGTCACTCTCAACACAGAGTAGAGGAGTCAAATGAGGGCAAATGTACAGCGCATATATGGTAGTTTGATGATACTGTGATGAGCTGAGTTAATGTGTCCCTGTTATTATGAGTTCTTCAGTTATGTAGATGTTGCATGTGTTGCCGTTATGCACTAATGTTACCAGCAGAAGTCAATGTTGTTATATGAGACCTATTGAGGTGGGGGGATTGTCTCGCGAGAGTTCTGGGGGCTGTGTGTGCGGAAGCGTTTGTACGGCGTGGTCTCGGCCAACAGTGACCTGAGTTAAGCTGAGTTCCTTAAATAAATGCACCGAAGTTGCACGCCAGTCATCGCCTCCTTATTTACGCTGCAGTACTGGGGTGAGCGTTACACTGGTGTCAGAAGTCTAAAAGTGACAGACTGGTTTCTTCTCCGGTGTTAGCCTAGCCGGCTAGCGGGCTTGCCGAGCGGAGCCGCTGTGTGTACGGTCGATGGACATGCCGCACGAGAAAGGAGCACGGCCAAGAGTTAAGGAGGAGGTGAGCTACGGTTATGCCCGGGCAGAGGATCTGGCGGCGGTGTTTGAGCGCGCTGCGGAGACCAAAGCCCGCTTGAAGCTGGCTGCGAGGAGCATGGCCAACGACGCGGGAATGGGCTCTGCTGACCCCCGACAGAGCGGGGGGCATGAGGAAGGCGTCCTCACTCGCACGGCATTACAGCGGAGTGAACGTGCAGCAGGTATGGCAAAATGGCGGTGCCAATGCTTACCGGGCCCCATGTAAAACACCAGTACCAGTACCAAGTACTCCGGTAAGGCGGACTGGCAGGCATTTCATGCCCAATTCAAACTGCTATCACAGGCGTCGGGCTGGTCAGAGGACGATAGAGTGCTACAGTTAGCCTTATGCCTTACAGATGATGCACTAGCGTGCCTGTGACTGCTCAGCCCAGAAGAGAGAAACGATTATAAGGCTCTTGTTGGAGCCCTACAAAGACATTTTGGACACCGTTAACAGCCCGGCCTCCTGCGCTCTGAACTGTCCAACAGGCGTAGGCAGCCCGGGGAGCCCCTCCGTGCCTTAGCTAACGACATTGAAACTCTAGCCCGGCGGGCTTATGCCCACATGCCCCCTGCGGTGCAGACGGAGCTCGCCAGGGACCAGTTCATCCAAGCCATAACTCCCAGGGAGCTGCGCATTCAGACCCAGCTTGCCCATCCCTGTTTCATACAGGAGGCTTTGGAACTGGCTCTGGAAAGGGAGATTGTGGGGGACGGGAACATGGGAGACGGCCCTGGAACTGATCCGGGCTGTGTCCACGCATTTGCCACAAAGTGCCACACGCCCTCGCCACCGCCCCCTGGTTTGCTGGGGATGCGGACAGCCTGGCCATCTCCTCAGACAGTGCCCCAAGCATTCCGACAACCAGGGAAACGGACCGGGGCCCGTATAGTTGGGACGGTACGGACCCCTGGCATTATGTCCCATGACGCATCGTCAGGAGGAGGGGGACCCAAACAGCACAGACGGGGGAGAGGGGCTCCACTCCCCCCTGAAACAGATGGCAACACGGAGTCCACGATGGTGGTAGGCTGGACTCATGCTGGGAATTTCTGCCACGTCCCTGTCAACATATGTGGGGCCTCATGTACCGCCCTTGTGGACACGGGATCAACAGCAACACTGATGCGGCCAGAGTTGGTTCCAGAGGGGACGCAGTTGGAGCAGACTACAATGCAGCTGAGGACAGTGACTGGTGAGCTGGCCCCTATGCTTGGTAGGGGGAAGATGACGTTGAATGTGGGTGGTCGAGCGATCAATTTTACAGTATGGGTGGCGCAGGTGCAGGACCCATGTATACTGGGGCTGGACTTTTTGAGGTCTGCGTGCTGCCTGCTGGATCCAGGGGAGAACACATTGACCTTTCCCGGGGGCCCTACTGTCAGAATGATACCACCTACAGGTTCCTCAAAGCCACGCCCCCTGGTCAGGACAGCCGTGGAGACACACTGCCATGGCAAGACCCCAGACGAGAGCGACAACTCCCAAGTCCGCAGTGCCCTGCCTCTGGTGCCCCATGCCCCCAGCAACGTCCAGCCCAGCTCGGCACATTCCGGCTCACCTCACCCAGCCGACGTGACTACGGTGGAGGGGACGGACAGGCTGGCTGCGGTGAGGGAGATATGGATACAGAATTGTGACCAGTTGGAGCAATGGCAGCAGGAGGAGCTGTGGGAGGTGTTATCTGACTTTACAGACATTTTTGCATCAGACGACGAAGTGGGCCTGACACACCTTGTGCAACACGAAATCGACACGGGGGATGCACAACCCATCAAGACGCGTCCCCGGCGCCTTCCCATGACTCACCGTGAGTCTGCCGACAGAGTGGTGGAAGAGATGCAAAAAGCTGGCATTTTCGAACCGTCAGACAGTCCATGGGCCTCGGGGGTGGTGATGGTGTCGAAAAAAAGGAGCCCCAAGATGAGATTCTGCGTGGACTACAGACCGCTGAACAGTGTAACCAAGAAGGACGCATATCCATTGCCCAGGGTCGATGAGTCACTGGACTTGGTGTCTGGCTCCTCCTGGTTCTCTTCACTCGACCTGCGAAACGGATACTGGCAGGTGCCACTCAGCCCTGAAGCGAGACCAAAGACGGCCTTCTGTATGGACAGGGGGTTGTGGCAGTTCCGGGTCCTCAGCTTTGGCCTGTGCAACGCCCCGGCCACCTTTGAAAGACTCATGGACGGGGTGCTGGCTGGCATTCCCCGTCAGAGATGTCTGGTGTATTTGGATGACATCCTGGCCCACGGGAGCTCCTTCAAAACGGCCTTGGAGTCGCTGAGGCTGGTGCTGCAGAGAGTGTCTGCGGCGGGCCTGAAATTACACCTACAAAAGTGCCGCTTCATGAGGAAAGAGGTGGAGTTTTTGGGTCACAGGCTGGGGGAAGAAGGCATCAGCACACTGGAAGAGAAAGTGCAGGTAGTGAGAGACTGGCCCACACCCACAGACCAACGACAACTGAAGAGCTTCCTTGGCCTGGCCTCATATTACAGGAAGTTTGTGCGAGGTTTCTCCTGCACAGCCGCCCCCCTGTACCACCTGCTGCAGCAGGGCAGGGGCTTCACCTGGACGCCACAGTGCCAGCAAGCCTTTAACTCCCTCCAGAAGGCACTGACAGAGGCCCCCATCCTCACTCCCCCTGACCCCATGTTGCCATTCATTCTGGACACGGACACCAGCGACATGGGCATGGGTGCAATGGTCGCGGCGATAAAGCACTTCAAGTTCTATCTGGGTGTCAGGACGGATCACTCAGCGCTGCAGTGGCTGATGTCCTCTGATGTCCAGAGAACCAGAGGGCCAAGTCGCACGATGGATTGAAATGCTGCAGTCCTATGTTTTCACAGTGGAACACAGGGCCGGAGCCAGCCATGCCAACGCAGATGCCCTGTCCCGCCGCCCCTGCGCCCTGGGCGGGTGCCGATACTGCGGGCGGAGAGAAGCGCGTGAGAGGGAGCTCCGTATCGAGGAGGAGACATGCCCCATGCACGAAGGGGCCGGACCAGTCTGCCGGGGTACGCGGATGGTTGACGTGGCTGAGTGGCAGATACAACAGGAGCAGGACAGAGACATCCAATGCGACAGTGGGTGGAAGTTGGGCAGAGACCACCCTGGGAAGAGGTCACAGGGAGCTCCACTGCAATAAAAGGACTGTGGTCAGTGTTTGATGCGCTGAGAGTGAAGGATGGGGTACTGCAGAGAGCCTGGAAGGAGCCTGCCACGGGAGAGGAGAGGTGGCAGGTGATAGTCCCCAGCTCAATGAGAAACGCTGCGCTGAAAGCATCCCATGGGAACACAGGGGCGGGGCAATTTGGAGTAGCCAAAACACTCCGCCGGCTCCGTCAGGGATTTTATTGGGGGCGGGCCAGACGGGACGTGGAGGACTTCTGCCGCCGCTGCGACCTCTGCGAGGCCTATAAGGGCCCCCCGGACCAGTCCTGCGCGCAACTACAACAGAAGGCAGTGGGGGCTCCCATGGAGAGAATAGCTGTGGATGTCATGGGCCCATTTCCCCGCACGGACACAGGAAACCGGTACGTTTTGGTAGCCATGGACTATTTTACAAAATGGCCTGAGCATATGCAGTGCCAAATCAGGAAGCAGAGACAGTGGTTGACGCTCTGGTAGAGGGCATGTTCAGCAGGTTTGGGGTGACATAAACCATCCACAGCGACCAAGGGAGGAATTTTGAATCACAGGTTTTTGCCACCATGTGTGAGCGTATGTGGCATGCATAAGACCCGGACCACGGCGCTGCACCCCCAGAGCTACGGCCTCGTTGAGAGGTTCAACAGGACCCTGGCAAAGCAGCTGGCAATCCTTACTGCAGAGCATTGACGTGACTGGGACACGCACCTGTCCCTTGTCCTCATGGCCTACAGGTCTGCTGTTCAGGAGTCCACCTCATGCACGCCTGCCCTCCTCATACTGGGGAGGGAGCTGAGGACACCAGTGGACGTGGCCCTGGGCAAACCACCTGACACCCCTGCTGTTCCCCCAGGGAGAGAGTACACCAGGAGACTCCAGGATGGGATGGAGTCCGCCCACGTCTTTGCCCGAGACCAGCTGGAGAAAGCGGGCATGAGACAGAAAAGGAACTATCACATGAGGTCAAAAGGGAGACACTTCCAAGCCGAAGAACTGGTTTGGGTGTACAGCCCACGTAGGAAGAAGGGACGGTGCCCTAAACTGGACTGTCATTGGGTGGGGCCGTGTCTGGTCGTGGAACGGCTGGGTGAAGTGGTGTACCGAGTCCAGCTGCCGGAAAAAAGGAAGAAGGTTGCACTCCACAGAGACAAATTGGCCCCGTACAGAGGAGACTCCCTCCTTTCCCGAACGTCTGCGCGGAGAAGCGACGGCACAATCACTACACACAGACACACGCACGAGCCCTGTCAGAGCCCCGTCCCCCCTGCACCTAATTCCCCAGAGACAGTGACTGACCCCCCTGTTCACACCCCTCCTTCCCCCTTGCCACCACATGCACCTTTCGCTGCACAGGGGTGTAGCCCCCCCCCCCCCGACAGGCAGGGGCGCCTGCGTCCCCCACTCGTTCACGGCCGCGGAGACAGAGACGTCGGCCGGGCCATCTCAGAGACTTTGTGTAGTCCCTCGGGACGAGGGACTTTGTTGGGGGGAAGCTGTGTAATGAGCTGAGTTAATGTGTCCCTGTTATTATGAGTTCTTCAGTTATGCAGATGTTGCATGTGTTGCTGTTATGCACAAATTAAAGTTACCAGCAGAAGTCAATGTTGTTATATGAGACCTATTGAAGTGGGGGGATTGTCTCGCGAGACAACGCGAGTTCTGGGGGCTGTGTGTGCGGAAGCGTTTGTACGGCGTGATCTCGGCCAACAGGGACCAGAGTTAAGCTGAGTTCCCTAAATAAATGCACCGAAGTTGCACGCCAGTCATCGCCTCCTTATTTACGCTGCAGTACTGGGGTGAGCGTTACAATACATATACGTTAGTTTTTTTCTTGAACTAGAAACACAGTTGCAGGTTTTGTCCTGTGGTATTTTTCACTTCTTTGAACACAGTAAATAAACTCTATGCTCTCTAATATGTAATTAATGATGTTTCAATTAATTATGTTAATGTTTTTTGTCATTTTCCAAAAAGAGAAGATGGGTCAAGCCATAACCGATGCCAACTGGTCCGTTTCAACCTGTTGCAAAGAAATATCAGTTCTTAGTTATCAGTCTTCCTTCTTGGTATCGTCACCTTGATTAAAAAGTCGCAGTCCTCCACCTGAAAGCCGATGTCTTTGACTCCGTCTCCGTGCTTCATCAAGTGTTCCCCCATCTCTCAGGGAAAATACAACCGCATCGTCATGCAAACATACAGTATGTCGTGTTCTCTGTACTTTACCTATTATGTAAGCTGAGCCTATTCATTTTGTTCAAAGTATGTCGAAAGATGTTCAAAACGCCCATATTTTGTTGACAATTGAAAGTGTAGTAGTATGCACTTTCTTCTCCAAAACCCAAAGATATGAAGCTCATTATCACATATTACAATAAAAATCACCACATCTCACATTTTAAAGGTAGAATTAGTATAAGTTTGCCAATTTAGCATCAGAAAAAAATGTTAATTTTTGCTGCCAATTTTCTGCATTCATTCATTGTGTGTTAATTTTTTTGCACAGAAATTTCAGAAGCTGAATGTTAGGGTTGAACCTTGAACAAATTAAGTTATTATGTAATTTGCAGTTGTTTCTATGGTTACTGGAACTTACTTATAATTATCCAGTAGAAGTAAGTATAAACAAGCACGATTAAGATGTTTGAAATGTTGACACACAATAGATCTCAATTTCTAAAAAGATTCATCCAGTTTCAAATATGGATTATGTGTCACGGGGGGAGCTCCTGAGGAGGACTCGGACGCAGAGTAGGTTTTCAGCTGACATTTTTTATTGTCCAATAAAGAAAAACACAGGCAGGTCCCTGGAAACAAAACACTTCTCCGAAGGGAGATGGCGGGGAAATGCTCCGGCGGAGAGCTGAATAGTTAAATACTTACAGAGGAATTAACAAAAACACTCAATCAAAAAGGCTCTAAACTAATCTAGTTTAGGAGCTATAAACGGCACGAGGCCAACTAAGGGCTACATACAAACCAGAACTGTGACCTGGGCTTGAGGTGGTTCATGAGGCGGGTGTACACGGCAAAGGACATGACACACTGCCACAGGACAAGGGGAGACGCAGACTAGAAGTACACATGAGGGAAGTGTGGGAACAGGTGGACACAATCAGAAATCAGGGAAGACAATCAGACTGGTGACACATGAGGAAGGGCAAGGAACCTGAAACGAGAGGAGAGTTAATTTCCAAAATAAAACAGGAAGTCACAAAAACCAACATGGAGACGGGACACAAACTCAACTTGACATACAGGTGTGACATTATGGTCAAAATAAATAAAAAACCTGTCACATGTGACAAAAAGATGTCATCCTTCGGTCGTATGGGTTTTGGCACTGACCTGTTTGGCATTGCCGACCCAGAAAGTGACATGATGAAACCTGACAAACTTTCCCCTTACGTGCTAAAATGAAAAAAGTACAACAGAATTGAATTGAAGAAAAAATGAAAAATAACTAAATGTATCTAACAGTTGATTGTCGGTTGAACCCGACTCCTACGGGTATAAAACACAACACTTTAACAAAATGTTTTCACACGTTCAAGTGTAGTTCAACTGAAGACTTGTATTAAAAGCTCATTAACTTTTTTTTTTTGAATAATGCATTATTCCTACAACATTCTTCTTCTCTGCAGATCTAGTAGTACTGTTAAAACAAACACAACACAGACTCCAGTCCGTTGTCAGAAGCAGCTTCAATCATACTTTTTCTCCTTTATCTATGTAGCTTGTCCATAAAGAATAGACAGCCATTATTACAACTTCATTCCTAAGTGCTCATACAGTCAATAGATCTCTAAGGATATAATTATCTCCTCAATTACTTAGCTGTACAATACCTAAGGCCCCTCCCGGCCCCCCGGCCCCACTATCCACCCGCAACTGAGAGCACCTGCTTATCATAATTGAGTCTCTACCATGCCGTGATCGTAGATGGGCCACAGTTCAGAGAAAAGAGAGATCAAAATCAGTGTCTGGCCCGTGAGGGTGCAGATAAGTAGAGACTGAATGACCACCTGTGATTGGTCCTTTGGGATCCCACCTGTCCGCCTCCTGCTGCACTTTAGTGAAAGTAGTAGTAGAGGTTTGGTCATCTCCTCTGACTCCAGTGTGTAATCGGTACTCAGAGCCTCAGTCGTCATAGAAACGGCTCAGCATAGAGGTTACAATGAGGTACAAATATTACACTAACTAAATAACACTTGTAAATGAAGAAATTCAGGCAAAATATGTATAACTGAACTTAAAGCGCAGCAGTGAATAAAAAAGACAGTCCTGCATAATACTGTTGTACTATAGTTCTTTTCACATTCCTCTCTTGGTTTGCACCACCAGATGGTGCAATATGACTTGATTGAAATTAAAAACAGATCATATACCTCAAAACTATTAAGTAAATTCAGAAATGTCTCTTTGTAAATGGACTAGTTTTTAATAATCACTCACTTCATTATTATTCTGAGTGATTACATGTTCTATCGAAACCCATTAATTTCAACTGGAATAAAGATATAAACCGTCTGTAATCATAAATAAAGATAATTACAACACCTTATTCCTTCTCGTTTTCAATGTACCCTGGATCACCACAGTATCTGGCATAAAGGCCTGATTGTGACAGCAACACGTGATTATTTTTGTTTTTTTGACAGTCTTTGAGGATAGAGTGAAGCGCTGTGTGGTTGCTGACAGGTCCAGGCTGTAACAGACCAGGCTGATGAACCAAAATAGTGTCTGGCCCCAGCTACAATGCTGTAAACTACCTGGCCATGACAGATGTATGTCCCGCTGACTTCACAGTTCCACAAATAAGGTGAGGATCGTGCAGTTAACTTGATTGTCCTGCAAATTTGCGTGTGTACTGACTATCTTCAAGATAAGAGGTCCAAGTGAATAACAACAATTATTGCTAGTCTATTTCATTTAATAAAATAAATAATGTCATTCAATGTTTTGTTCATTAAATGTTAGAAAATAGTTCCCATCGTTCCCATCAAGAGTTTCTTTATTCCGAGTTGACCTCCCAGATCGCTTGCTTGTCCTCTGATGACATCAGGACCGCAGAGAGGCTTTACATCTTCTATGACACACCTCTTCAGACTATGCCTTGACTAAAAACACTAAACAAATGTAACACTTAAATCGTACTTATAATGGCTGATTACAACGTGCTAATCTATAGCACGTTGTAAATGGGTTTATTTAATGAAATTGCACTTTCTTGTTTATTGTCATATTCTTCTGGGTTTGTATCCTTATGGTTGAAATACACTTACTGTAAGTCGCTTTGGATAAACGCGTCAGCTATGACATATCATGTAATGTAGTGCCCAACCACACTTCGAGATCATTCATTTCATTTTTAAAGAAAAAATGAATAAATACTGTATTATTTTAGATTATGTCAAAGCCCTGCTGGGCTATGACTGAAGGTACGTGCGTACAACCACGCGTGGTTGTACGCACGTACCTTGTGTTTGTGTGTGTCCAGTTTGTGCCGCGCTGTGATTTTCTATTGGTGCGCTCTGGGCGCTTTAAGGCACGTGGTTGGCTGCTTTGTGGGTGTGTGCAAGTCACTTGCGCGAGTGCTGTCAATCGTAATTGGTTATTGCAAATTCTGTCGTGCTATTGGTCTATAACGTTTAGTGTCGTCGTTGCCTATTGGCCCACGCCTCTGTCATCGAAGAAGAATGCGGAAGTTGTGTAGTCTACTGAGTCATCGTTGTGTCAGCTGATCTTTCAGAGTGAGTAACTCGATTTATATTTTAAAATTAAGTAACTTCCACATAATATATTGTGTGTGACATGATATATTGTTGTTCTCTTTGTGTTGGACGTGTGAACCGTGAGCCGCTTTGTCGTTTTCTGTTGGTAAATTGTCGAATTTTACAACCGGTATCCGGTGGCTAGCATGAAGCTATGGTTTTCACACACCGCACATACACACACGCACACTTTCGGTTTGCCGACGAGTTGCTTCGTAAAACGGGGCACGGTGGTGTTTGTGGTGAGTCTCGCGTCCACTTTCACTTTCACCTTACATGTCTTTAAACTTTGGCCCTGTTAATCACACCTGTTGTGTTGTCACGAGTCAAACACCGCACCTGTTATCCCGTGCTCGGGGGGGCGGGGCGGGGGCCATCCCACCGGTACATCGACCGGTACATTCCAGATCGAACTGTGGTCTGGTAAGAGGGGGGGGGTAGCCTGCCTCTGGACTGGGACATGTATTTTATACTATCTATTTACAATGCTAACCTCATGTAGATGGTGAGGATTTTATGTTTAGAAATATTTCCAATAATCAAAGAACTTGATCAAATATAGTGAATGAATAGAATATAACTTAGAGGTTGGACTAAATTAGTGTGCATCACTTATTTCTCTATATCTAACATTCGTTAAGAAATGCCCTCGGATGACAGAATGGAGAGACGAATGCAATGAAAAAACTGCATGTTTTAAATCTCACCCTGATAAAGTAAACATAAACATAACAAACTTTCTTAAATGCGTGGAGATTAAGAAACGATGAAATCGTATATCTTTAAGTTAAATGCGGTGTAAAGCATTCCCCCCCCCAACAAGCTGCTGTCACCCCAAAAGCCCAAAGCCCTTCGCTGTGTCCACTGTTCAAAGCTTTGCAACTGGTAATGATTGCTTTTTCAGACTTTCATTACTTTGTTATTTTTTGACAATAATTCATTTTAATTTTGCCAGACCTATATTTTATTCAGACGCAACGTTTGTCTTTGGAATCTCATATCTTTTGAGATCAATCCAAACAGCGGAGACTGTTTTGCAGCAAATTGCAGAACAGTCTTCTCTGCCCTCTGCTCAGTGTTTCCCCTACCATTATCTCATCCCCCCCAAACCCTAAATTTCCTCTACCCCATGTATATTAAAAAAATATATTGTTTTTTACCCACGCAGGGCAGTCCCGCCCCCAACTCTTGTGCGATTATGTTCGTGGCCCCTCCCCCCTCCCCTGGAGCTGTATAGTCCCAACTTTCTTTGAGTCGGTAGGTGACTCTCATTGCTTTGAATGTGATATTACCATTACATCTTTTTAAAATAAATTTTAGGACCATTTGCCTACGTGTGGTGATTTTGGTGGCTGATCCCTTTTGATAAAATGAGTCATGAGTGGAGTTGACTAAAATGCACAGTTTGTCCCCTGTTGCATAGTTTCTTTGAGAAGCCTGGCCCTTAACGCGTGGGAGGGAGAAAGAGTCGCAATAGAGCCAGAGCGGGCGAGCGAGGGAGGGAGGGAGGGCGGTATGCCATGCACTGGATTACAACCAGTGTGTGTGTGTGTTTGGGAGACGGAGACTACGGCTCCTTTTGCAAGGAGCTTCACTTAAACCTTTTTAGAAAGGTTAGACAACCGTTTCAGCAAAACGTTTACACAGCCCTAATTCATCACTTTGAACAGGTAAGAGAACTTTGGGAACAGTATTCCTATGAGTTTAGTGTAGTTTTTTCTCTTCTTTTTTTTTGAGCTGTGTGCAAAAGGGGGTGTGTCTGGCAAAAAAAAATGTCTAAGGAAGTAAGACAGCATTAAATGGTGCTCGTTTTGATTCAGTTTCAAGTTGTGGTTTAAGTGAGTGATTCCTACTGTAGTCGTGTCCTAAACAAGTAAAAGTGAACCCAGTGTCCGTGTTTTGTGTAGCTGTCGGCGGGTTACTATCTTCACACTAAACACACACTGCGCTTCCTGACTGAGCTTGTATGCGTGGGTGGAGGATGCAATAGGATATCAGTGTGTCTCTTATTGCCAGTGTGCAGCACCCTTTGGTGTCTACTCCTCCTCCAGTTATCAGTCGGGCTGCTCATAATCTGATGCGGAATGTTGGGTTTGCGTTTCCTGTATATCGGCGTCTTTCCCGTCAGGCCAGGCCAGGTCAGCTGACCCCTCCACCCCCCTTTAAGGTTTCCACATCAGCGTCAGTCTTCACACAAGAGCTTGCGCGTCTGTCTGCAGCACTGCATGTGTTGTTTTTATGTGTTTTTTTATATTGACTTGACCTGATTTGTAGAGTGCACTCTTGGTCCCCCACATGTTCCACTTCTTCTAACAATGAGATCTGTTGGGATTTTAGTGCCAGGATTCTACTTACTGTAATTTTCGTCCAGGAAAGGTAGTTATTTGTATTCCAATATGCAACCACACACTTTACAACTGCCTCCATGTGTGTTTGCGTGCGTGCACACACACACACACACACACACAGCCCGATGTCTGATCTTAGTGTGTTTTTACGTTGGCAGGAGTCATCGCTGGCACAGAGGACCTCAGTAGACCGGAGGAGACGGAGGGATCCGGAGAAGGGCGCCCAGACCAACCGTCTACAACCCTGGCTGGCAGCATGGTGAGCCAGTCCCACTGTGTGTTGTTTATATTGTGCCCTGCTGCTGATTGCTATTAAACTAGTGGGCCTTCAGAACCCCCTGCCTGACTTCAAGGTAAATGACAAGCAGAGATTTCTTTCACAGAGGAAACACACAATGTTCTTTCAAACCTAAACACAGAACAGGGTTGTGGGACATTTTCAGAATGTTGTCACTTTCCAGAGTTGCATGATCATTTAAACAATATAGTCCTTTTCTAATTCAGCATGTCCCATATATGATAGGGTACTAATATTAAAGGAAATTCAGAATCTTCAACCACAGCAACAAAGTGCTCTGCTCTTTGTTTATCAAATGTATGAAAATCCTTTGGATCATAATGAACAATACAAATGATCAGGGATCAACATTGCTTTAAATAAAGGACAACCTCTCCAAAGACGACAGGTTCCATTCGACTCCTCCAGCTCACTCTTGGACTCAAACCATCACCAATGTGAGTGAGTGAAAGTCGACCTGCCCACAGCCCAGTAGTAGTTTGCACAGCACGTGTTACGACTTGTCTTCATGTTTGTTTCCTTCAGGAAGGCCAACCCCCTTATGGTGATATAGGAACATTGAAGGCTCCCTGCTCCGAATGGGTTTTAGATTTTTTGTTTTGAATGAATTGCATCATAATAAATATGTTATACTATATATTACCATACTATATATTACCATATCAAATTGAGTGTATTATTTTTCTACTGAAAATAAAATAGCAATAATAATTCTCCAAATATCTCTCTCTCTCACCCTAAGAGCTGGATCTGTTTATTTCTACCGATCGCCCTCTATTGGGTATTCCAGTCTATTCTGCTCTGTAGAACATCTAAAAGTAAATGAGTTTATGTGACGGTACCATGAACGCATGCTCTTCTGTTTTCTTTGGAAATGCTGATTCCCACATTTTCACTACCGCATTCTGAAAAGTGCAATTAAAAAGTAAGCTGTGCATTATGTTTGAAGGTAATTATTATGTTCTCTATGTTGACTATTGTTTAATGACTGTTTATAAAAGTTCAGTTAGAGAGCTTAATAAATGTACATAGCCATAGGCATTCTTTGCATGAAATGTGGAAAATTCTGTATTTCGTGATTTGCTTTTTGAAAAGTTATACTTTCTTCTTTTGGAGAGAGCCTAATGAGCATAATGGTCTGTCCCTTTTCATTTTCTCACTGACGGCACATTATTCCCAATTCAGCCAAGCTTTGACCAATTAAATTACAAATTCCTCTTGAAACTAATAGATGCAGCTTCTGTGGGACAGAAACAGGAAGCGTACCAGGAGGATGTGCGTCCAAAGGTTCTGCTTTACTGGGTCCACAGAAACCCGCGGTGGCCCGCTGCCCAGCTCCCGGCCATTTATGGGATACGCAGTTGAGCTCTGGGCATAATTGACGGCGGAGGCTGATGAGCACATGTTGTGCCCATTAAGTCTCATAAAAGGCTGCATACAGACCTCTGCCAGTCCTGTGTCGATTTCATATGTTTCATTTAATATTATTCTATTTGCATTACATATATTGTGGATTTATTTAATCATGTTCATTATTTTCCCTCATGGGTTTAAAAATCTATCTGCTGTATAAACTGCAACAAGTGAGCAGATCAATGCAGGCCATCAATGAAACGTTGTTGACGTAATGCAACAAGAATATGCAGTTTTGTTCTTTTGTTTGGCCACAGCATATTTGTTTTTTCAGGTGGGATGGTGAGACATTTGTTCCACACGTAATATGACCCCTTTGGTCCGTCGTTAAGAGGCAGCCTCTAGCTTTTTTTTCTGAAAATAAATGGGGGGGATAGTATTGAGTTCTTCTTAGCTGGTTAATGCGAGCAGAGAAACTAGGACAATGGGGGGGGGGGGGTTACCCTGCCCTCAATGCTCACAATGCAATGTACTGCTACCTTTTGTCGGGAACTAGCGAGCGAGTCTCCGTGTTGGCAACATGCAAAGATGCGCGAGTTGTTTTGTTTTTTTGTTCGTTTTTTTTTTGTCAGTGGTCCTGTTGTGAGGTGGCCTGCTGGTTTCTGTGTTGTTTTGCTCGGTGCTCCGCGTCCCTTTTTTTATCAGAGCCATGCTATAGCATTTAGTTCCATGGGCTCAGTGGTAGAGCAGCTCATCCTGCAGAGGGTCATGGTCATGTGTTATAAAAGCAATTCAGCTTACCATTGTAGTCCTCATTTTGGACAGCATACGTGTTAATGCACATAAGCTGAATCCTGTTTCAGACTAAAAGATCTGATTGGTTCCTGTTAGATGTGCAACTCACACATGACATTCTACTGCCTCATTTACCCACAGCATTAATTAGTTGTGACACACTTATTTCTGGACTGCAGGTTGTAGAATAGTTACTGGATATGTCCTATAAGATTGACATTTTAATAGACAACCAAAAATAACTACATGCATTTACATAAACTTAAACTTAAATCTTCTGTACTTTTAATAGCTGCGTGAAGTCCTCCAATGCCTTCTAATCTATTTTTTTGTATCCTCTTCTATAGATGCATGTCAACATGTGAACTGACACTCTGTATTGATGACCTGCTGACCTCCTTTCCTAAAATAAAAAGTCACACTCAAGAGGCCAAATCTGGTGCTCACTTTTAGGGCCAGTTTAGGCCGATCAGGGCGGGCGTGGGGCGTGTTGTCGGTGTATTTCAGTTTTGAACCGTATACCTACTGAGTTATTACTGAAGGTCTTAGTAAGCCCACCACACTCCTAAACTTGATGAGGTTGCACTCAAAATGAAATGTCACAATCTGCCGAATAAATAAATAATTGATTTAGACCAGCCATAAAAAGTAGTTTGTTTATATTTGGATCATGAAATTGACATAGATGCACCTACAATGTGAAAACTAAATTGCCGAATAATATTATTAATCAAAAAGTAGTGCAGTTTTTGTTTTCATTTAGATCTTCAGTTGGGTTGCTGTGCAGGCAAAATCCGTTAACAGTGAGGTTGAATTCAACACTGAAATGTCCTGCTGTTAATAGCGACTCCATTGTGATTTGGGACATTGATCCATACAGATATTTTTGCTGTTGATTATTTGTGTGTCTATAAATTCAGTATTAATGCATTGGGCCTGTGTCTGCACTAAAAGAATATGTAGATTTCCCATCTGGCTGATGGGTGTGATTCTATGAAAATCTTTGATATCCTCTAGTGCACATATGTCAAACTTGCGGCCCGCCGGCCAAATCTCATGTTATGTTTATAGCAGATTAGTAGCTTTTATGTAACAATTTGCTGCCTCCTGCTAATGATAACCGCAGATATTTTATGAATTCAATCTTTGTTAGCCAGGAGATGAAATATACACATATCTAGCAGTTCAACCCCCTTCAATAGACTTGTATCTCTGTCTACCTGCAATGATAAGTAAAGCAAAGGTAACCGTGTGCACCACCTGATCCCACAGATCTTAAATACTCTTTACAGACTGCAATGACAGGCACCATAGGAATTAAGCTCCTCTAAAAACCGTTGATATGTGTCTTTTCCAACTAGATCTGAAGATCAGATCTCTGATGCATCTGCCGCGGGGGCGAAAGAGATCCTTGGTTTGGATGGTTTATCATTTCAAAAATGCCCCCCCAGTAGTGAGTCCAATTTTAATAGTGCTGCGTCGTGCGTGTTACACGTGTACTATGTTATACGCGTTGCATAATGTGACAGCCACAGTTGAAGGCGGATGGCTGTCACGACTCTGCCAGGGAGGAGGTTGGGTTAACCTCCCCCTCCAGTAGTACAATGTTCACCGTATATATATACCGGTACACCCTGTACATCCAGTGACCTTCCCTGTTTCAAAGCACAGGACCATGCAGTTAAGCAGCGTCCACTGCAGAGATGCACTGCACCTGTGTGGGACAGTGCTACAGAGACACCCAAGGGACAGGTGGGGTCGGATTCATGTATGTGGAGTCCTTTGTCACTGAAGATCTCCGCATACACTCTTTCTCCTCAACACCCTACGTCACGTATTCCCCTCCTGCTCTAGACCAAATGCTGCCAATGCAACGCTATTGTGACGGAACACTTTTCCGGCACCTTGCAGGGATGTCTCTGTGCACCCCGCTGGTGCGCGTGAGTTGGCTTCAGGTTGTGTTCTGTGCACACGCCTGCTCGCATACAGTGCGTTCGCCTGGGAAAGAGACCCAGGATGCTGCAGATGGTCATAATGGTGCCTGTGTGGCGGTGAGAGCATCTTCTAGTTGCCGCGGCACATGCTGAGCTGTATGGACCAGCATATTTACGAGGATATGCCGGTGAAGGCTGAATGAGGAGTGAGTGGGGGAGGGGGGAAGGGCACAAGGAGAGATGCGAGCCAGTGAATGTGAGGGAGAAAGAGCTGTAGATGCGCATGCAGAGGGTGGAGCCTAGCATCAGGCAGTTCCCTCTGTCTTGCCTCCCCGCATGCTCTCTTCTAGCAGCCCCCCCCCGCCCTCATCCATTTGCTTCATGCGAGATGGCACATCTGCAGTGATTCAACGCTCAGCTGATCGCATGGACTGCTGCTCTTGTTTGTACCTTTCAATGGACCATCCTCCCACTATCAGCAGTGCAACAGGAGCTGCCGTCAGACACCAGCGTGCTCTCGCTCTCCCCGCTCTGGAGAGAGTTGGGGCGGAGTGGAGTTCCTGAAAAAGAGCCGGGACCGGCGGGTTGGCTCGCAGCAACTCCTGAGAAGGACAAGCGGTGTGGGGGGGCAGTGGAGGAGCGGCAGGCAGAGGAGTTTGGAGCGGACCAGGGGTGGACGGGCTCCGGCAGGGAGGAGAATGGGTACGCCGGCTCCTCGTGCTGCGGTCGCGCTGCTGCTCTGTAGGCTGCGTGTCACTCCGGCACAGCTCCGCCTCTCCTCGACATGAGCTTCGCAGGGAGGGTGTCCTGCTCCATGCTCAACTGCTTTGTAAGTGCGTTTCTTCTCTGTTTTGTGACTCTGGTTTGTCATTGTTGTGCATCAAACCTACCTTGCTAGCCAGCTGGTCTGGCCACGCTGTGTGTGGAGATGTTGGTTGACACGTGAGTGCTCTAGTTATTAGTGAGAAGCCCACAGAAATAATTAAATTACTCCTAATGTCTTCTCATGCGTGTGATGATGAAGTGCTAATCAATTGCTCTCATCACTCACCTCTGCTGCACGGAGGACCTTGAGCTGCCGGTGTGTTGTTTGGGAGGGAGGGCCTGTCAGGAGGGAGATGTGTGTGTGCACTAAGCGCAGCCCCTTAAAGTGGGGATGTATGTTCGCTGCAGTGGAGGAGTTTCATTTGCATCATCTGGTAACAGGCATGTTTAGGGCATAGAGGACTACGACCGGTGTGGAGCGGTTGTTTTGCATCTTACTGAGTGCTGTGTGTTTGGGACGATAGTAGCAATTGCTTGATTTTCCAAATTTATTAATAATATTAGTTCAAATTAATCATTGTAAGACTTTTCCAAACTGGGTAAAAAACATTCCAGTTGTATTCCTCATCAACAAGTTTGCCATTGTATAACTTTGTTTGTTTGTCTTGTAACAAATAAACCTTCAAATCAAACTCTTCAAACTTAGTAGGTCTAAATTGTATAGAAATAGAATAGTAAAAACATGAATAGCCGAAATGTAAGCTATAAGTAAACAAACACAAAAGTCTACAGCCAGGCTTGTGGCTCTCGGGCTCCTTTCTGCTTTGTACTTGCACAGACATGCAAACATGCTCACGATGCTACTGCGGCTATTTAGGAGATATAATATTAGTTCATAATTTCACAATGATGGGTGCGCTAGATGGAAGCCATTCCTATTCATCCTGAGTGGATAAACCGATTGATCCTGTTTTGCTGTGGTTGCTGCATGACTTTATGGATGACCACGTAAGCCTGTTGGTCAGACAATACTGACCCTTAAAAATACTAAGTTGGTTCAAAGGAAATAAAACAATAGTAGAAAATCCATTAGAAATCTGTGTTCTGTGATGTTTAGTCTACACACCAATTCTATTTAGCATTTTAGCATCACCCTATGTAACGGTAACATCCCAGTGTTTCCAACGATCATTCAACAATCATTAATGATAACTTGAAAATATTTCATTTAGTTCAGTTTCTTTGAGACAAAGCAATGTGTTGGTCCCAAAGTTTTCAGGACGTTGAGGCAGAGCTCGACTGCTCTGCTGTCCTGCCTTACAAATTTATGATCTCTCTTGCTAAATGCTTGTGGTGCAGCTGAGTCAACAGTTCCTCTTCTGCATCAGTATTTCTATAATTCATGATGGTCGTCTGTTACTGATGTGGATCACAGATCTGTCCGGCTTCTTCTTGGAGGAGGGCTGCAGCGTCATCGCATCTATGTGATTCAACTATGGAAATAAAGCAGCTTCCTTAACCGTTCCCTCATATCATGTTTATCTCTCTACGATGTGTTGTCCGCGCCAAATGGAGCTATACAAAGCCTAATTGAATTGGTTACGATTTTTCCATGACTCAGGTTCTAACAATCCAGCGGCTAAATGAGTTACGGGGGTAAGCAGCACCAGCCAAAAGCTTTTTCGGGAGATTCGCCTCAGGACATAAAACTTCTTGGTCGGCTCTTAACTCTGCCTGACACCAAGATCGCAACACACACACGTCAATGTGTTCGCACCATAGCGCGCTGAAAGTCGTCAATATAAGACAAAGCTTTTCTTTTCGATAATATGATTCTGTTTTTTTAATAAGAAAACTTTCTTTACCAGTGTGCATCGCCTTAAATCCATGTCTCTATTTACCTGCATGTTGGTTGTGGTGGAAATCAGATAAAGGTTGTACGAAGTCATTGTAACCTATATGACCTAGAGTGTTTATCTTTTCTCTGTTGACTTTTTTTTTTTTTTAATCCATTTTAAAATATTTTATTTTTATTTATTTTTTTTTTTTTACCTCAACCAGCTATTTAATTAGGACAACCTCAAGACATTTGTGCAGCTGAAGAAAACTTTTCTAACAACATCCAAAATGTTTGTTACACGAACGCCTGTAGAAAGGTTTTTAATATAGATGACACAAAGAAAACAATAAGTAAGCTATAAAACTTGTTTCTATCTACATTATTACCTACCAAGATGGCGGAAATGAACAGGATCATACCATAGGATGCCTGGGAGGAAATATGCAGGCAGGCACACCTAGTTTAAACTAAAACACTTTGAGGGAATTTAATTACCAGATTATAAGATGGCCCCAACACATTTCAACTTGTGTTGGCAGAACAGTGGAACACATGCTGCCAACGACACACACACATATTGGCTATGCCCCAAGTTAAATGCATACTGGATAAGAGTCGATTAAAAAGACCCAACGCGACATCCAAAGAGACCCCACAGTAGCACTGTAGCTTCTAAACATACTAACGGCAGCACTGAAGGGTATGGTTAAAATGTGCTAGATGTTATGTCATCTTCCGTTTTTCTTAGAGGAACCAGTATCTTAAACATGCCTTTATAGAAAGATTTGATTACTTGTAGCTCACTTATTTCCGATTAATTCTGCTTCCTTCTCAAAGGCGCCGGCTCTGCCTTGTATGCTCAGCTTATATCACGGCCAAGGACAAAAATGGGAGTGATCATTTAGAACATGGTGGTCTATGAAATATTAAAATAGTCAGGGTAAAAAAAAAAAGTGCATTTGGGAAGACTTGTCATACTCTGTCATCTCTGATCCTGACCAGTGAATTTGACTGCTCTGCCTTGTGAAGCCAAGAACAAACCTTTTCCATTTTGATTGTTTCTCATTTCCCTTTTTGGTGCTTTTTGTTCTGCCACTTCATGTCGTCCTCTCTTTCCATCGTCCCTGGGCCTTTCCTTCCTTCTAATACGTAATTTGAGCTCATTTTTTACATTTTACATACAGAAGTGTTTGCTTCCATTATATGTCCCTAGCAGCAACTAACTGTTTATCTAGCAGCGGTTATTTTGTGCACCTGATCCCCTCATATTTAGGAGGTCATCTTTGCATCATGTTGTGGTTCTTTAATCTGCACAACTCTAGCACAAAGGCCCGGTCACACCAAGTAAATAATCTGGTGAGACAGCATTTTTTTCCTAAAAGCTTTAGAAAGAACTAGACTGTGAAAAGAGGTTGTTGAATCCATGGCAACCAGACTCTTATTCACACTGTGTGTGTCTCTTTCTCTTCCTCTTCTACCTTTTTTCTTTTTTCAATTCCTTCGCATGTAGAATTCTCTGGAAGAGTTCTTCTCTTTTCAGTTCTGCTCTCCCCAGAGGATTGCAACTCTAAATTAGGCGTGCACGTTCTCGCCTCCACATGCATACGTTCCCCTGCTCTATTGTAGCCATCCAGTCAGCTGCTAGTTGATAACGTCACTGTCACAACAATGCATATATTCAAGACGTTGCACTCTTGACATAACATAATTGTTGTTGGAGGAATGCATGGACGCGTACGCGTGCATGCCTGGTCGCTCCAGCTTTTTGATTGCTGGGTGGACAAAGGTGGGGGAGGGTGCGCAGGCCCACAGCAGTGACGAAGCAAAAAAAAAAAAACGTGAGTACAGGACAAGCTGTGCTCCATCTTTGTGAGCCGGTGAGAGAATATTCTTTTTCTTTTTAATCTTCTTTAAGCTCATTGTCTGGCTGTGGTCACACAATGCAATAGATCACAAATCAGGAAACCGTGCCTTTTTGTTTTTGCATGTGAATGTAATAACAGAGGTAAGCAGGAGGGGCTTCATTTGCAAGTCATTCACCAACATCGCAAAACTGAGGTCTGTGGTTTAATGGATGCTGGTTTCTTTAAATGTCATTCTAATGTTTATAAAGAATGTTAAGCACCAATGCATTTGTATAACTCAGTTTGGAGCAACTAAGCACACAGAATACACTGTTCTAGCAGGCTTCTCACAGGAGGGCAATGTCTGTGCTGCTTCATAAGTGAATAGGGTGAACAATGCCAAGTAATTACCAGATAGTGCAGCATCCAAAGGACTGGAGGGATTATCAACATAGGGCGTGTATGTAGAGATTGAACGTTCCTCTCAGCCAATTTTCCTCACATTTCCTAAGATGAAGACTAATAGCGATCGCTTCACCAGTAATATATGATGACTGTTTGGCACGGCATTATAAAGATTATTAGTAAAGGGAAAGGAGTCTGTGCCTGGGTGGCAGCCCGTCTGCTCAGACTGCCCAGCAACAGTGGGAGGGAGATCAACATTTAATGGCCCGACCTGCAGGAAGCCTCTGACTGATGGCTACTGTCATGGTCTACCCCTTCTCAGGTCAGATTTATGACGCACAGCAGCCTCATCCGTCTGATGCTGAAGGCCGGCTCGGGTCAAAGGTCACTGGATGAGAACGATTGCATTGCAAGGAGGATCGGAAAAGTTCGGACAAGTTTACCATTTTGAAAATAAAGCACTAAAAGCTTTGCTGATTTAAAAGGTGACTGAGACTATTTGTATCTGCTCGCAATGTTTTAGAAGCTGATCCAAAGAAGTCACACAACAAAAGTATCTAACTTGAACTGTATGTCTGGTATTACTATCTGGTAGTGGGGCTAACCCTCTCTGAATATGTCTTGAACACCTACTCCTCCTCTTATTTCCTATTCTAGTCACATTACATGGATGCAGCATTATGCTAGAAAGATCCCTCTTCATCCTCACATGAGTGCATCACCGGAAGATGGAAAGACGGCATTACTATGAATACAAAGGCATCATTTGAAGGAAATGGAGCCCACAATAATACAGCACTTAACGTTGGACCATCATTTAAGGAGCGTAGAAACAGCCTTGACACCAACCTTCATGGCTGCCATCAGCCCTTTCCGTTTATAAAATGTACTAGTTAGACTGGCTTTGTGTAGTGACTTTGTGCCAGTAACCTCTCCCACAGAGACACTCCCCACACCCAAAGTAAACCTTCAATACAAACTCCGAGGACTACGACATTCCGGGCTGGAATGATTGTGATTTAGACTCAGTAGGCCGACAATAAATTGCCTCTTCCCTCCGTCAACAAAGCTGTTATGACACAGAAGCTGATCAATTCTGCTTTGGCTGTTCTTCTCCTATCATCCCTCGTCCTTTTGACTTGGAATGGTGTAAAGTTAGTTTCTTGTAGGGTGCTTTGGATGACCGGTGATCTGATTGATTGCTAGCATGGCAGGAGGTCTCCGTAGTGGGACATCAAGGGCCTCCCTGCCATAATATATGACACTTTACTGTGTTGTTTTTTTAGTCCAGGGACCCACCTGAGTCAGTGACGCTGCCTCCCTCCTGTCCTCCATCGGGACTTCATTTGCTGATTTTCCAGTGGAGGTTGCAGTTTTCAGGCAGCCAAAAACTAAAGTGGGTTCCTCCTTAACCAAAATCAATAGCTTTGAAAGTGACCCAAAGAGGCTGTAAGGAAAGAGGGAAAAGAACGGCTGCGTGTCATGGTGGACCATCCTGATCCTGAATAATGTGACAAAAAGTTCAATATACATGTTAACACCCAATCACAAATATGATCTTAACCAGGATGAGAACTAAAATCAGCATACTGGTAAACATGTAGATGCACTTTATGTGTATACTTTGTCTTTTTAGTTAAACAATTACAGGGCCGAACTTTGCTGTGTGTTAACCTCAGAGCGGCACAACCTGCGAATACGGAGGTCTTGCTCACATTTGCTGCTTCTTGAGGTGCTGCAGTCTACGTTTAGCAAATCATCCATTCCAACACGTGTGCTCTTGATAAACCTGTATTGTGATATTCCCTTTTCACCCTTTGAAAGTAAATTCTGAATTAGTCTACACGTGTGTCTCTTGCACAGTCATGTTTAAGTGACCTCAGCAGGGCGTTGTTTAAACTCTGTGAGAAGTTAATGTCTGAATCATGTGAAATACTTTACTTAGTCCCACTATCACGCCCAAGGTGCATTCTTCCTTCAGCATAACCATTTATCAATCAAGGAAAAGCCTTTTAAAATTGAGTGGAGAACATTTTAAAATCGCTTGCTTCATTGACCCAACATCCATGGTCACATGCCTCCTTTTTCAAATTGAGTCATTGTCATTGTCAATATTTAATCTGCTGTGTGATGTCAGATAGTTGGTGGGGATTGTGAAATTCAACCTGGCATGCATTTCATATCAAAGATCAACCACCCTGATAAATGTTTAATAAGTAATTCAGTTTTTATGTTCATGTGGTTTGATATTCTGTTAAACTGTATTGTCATGCACCTCTAGTAGAGTTTCCCCCTGCGGTATGGACAGAGGTATGACCGAGGTATTTGTCTGACCACCGCTGTGTTGTTCTACTGTCTTTCAGGGTGAAGAAGGGCCTCCCAGCCTGGAGTATATCAAGGCAAAGGACCTGTTCCCCCAGAAAGAGCTGGTGAAGGAGGATGAAAGCCTTCAGGTGAGCAGAACAATGTTTTCCAACACATACCCCTCCACGAAGCGGTGAAAAGAACAGAGTGTGGCGCTTCCTGGTTATGACCTCATCTTCGATCCCGGCTGCTGGCAAGTCACCAGCAGGGTTCCTGTGAAACACCCGGATGAAGCTTGTGTGGTGTGATTACCACTGTATTTATGTAAGTCACAGCGCAGCACACACCCATGAGATGATGACGCTGGCCTAGAGGAGCCATTCTTTTATCAGTGTTCAAAACGAGTTTTGTTCATTCAACGACTCCATGGAGAGCGAAAATATTTGCATGTGAATAAGCCTGCAGCTTTGGTCTCTACAGACAAGTATTCATACAGCGAGCGTGCACGCTCGCACCGGCGGAGAGAGCACATGTCCGCCCGCAACGACTGCTACCCCCCTACCTCCCCCAGCGTCAGCTCGGCATCATGTGTTTGTGGAACTGAAAAGGGGCACGTGGAGGCATTTGTCCCAGCCTGGGGTCTCTATGCGAGGTTGCCTGTGTCCTGGGTTTCCACTTGGGTTGCAATGAACTGCAGGCAGCATCAACCTGTTCAAAGGTGCCGTTTTCGTTGTTATTACAGTGACTATTATTTGTTAAAGGGGCATTGTGTATCAAAGGGCCTGATAGATTACATCACTTCCTGCTAAGCAATGTGAGAACACAGTAACGTAGTGTCTTACAAAGTTTATGAGGTGCATCTTGGATGCCTCTACTAAATACTGCTCTTATTTACTGTGTTTTTCCCCTCCGCCTGCATGCACACTAGCTGTTTGTCACCGTTTCTTGGCTTTTGTTTTTTTTGTGTGCATGCCATCCCATGATGGATCCTCTGACAGCTGATGCCTCATAAAGGCATTCCTACCCCACCTTCTTTATTACTCTGCTGCCTTTCATCCTGTGTGCGTGCAAGCCGTGGTACATGCTTGCAGTTGTGTCTGCACACGTGCATGTCTTCACAGGCAGGCTGCTTGAACCGGAAGTCACAAGTCAGGGTTATTCATGGCTCCTTCTGTTCTCTCTCTCTCTCACTCTGAAATATTTCTGCTGCCGAAAGCTTAGTTGAAGAAACGTGCCACAGTATCCTTTGCTGCTCTTGCTGGCTGGCGGTGACTCATGCAGCTACTTCTGGAGCACATCTTGTTTAATGCAGCGCCCAGTCTGTACAGCATGTTAACTATGGCGCTCTCACATGTTGGGTCTCTTCCTCGGCAGAGCAGCACACACACTCATTTACAGTCTCATTTAAGCCATTTCTGCTTCCGTTGAGGCAGTGTTTAATGCAAATTGCCTACATCCCCTGACAGATGAAGAAATCAAAGACTATTAAGATTAGGCTTTCCCCTTTTCTATCATTTTTCATATACGCAACATCTTTGTGACTTTCAGCTGTGGTTATGCGCCAGTTACTGTCTGATTTCAGATATTCCACTTTTTTGAAGTCCCAGTGCTAAGTGCCAGGGGGCCGGCGGCCTATATTTGTCTCTATTGGTGTCTGAGTGCAGAGTACTACGTGCTCCATTTCCCAGGTTAAGCTGCACTCTTTTCCCCCATCATTCTTCCTGCCCTAGCTCAGACAGACAGTTTCAGTAAATAATGAGCAGCGGCACAGAGATTAATGTCGGTGTTTGCTTGTTTTTTAACATAAGCTGTCTGGACCAACCTTAATCAAAAACGTTTGAGCCTTTGACAGTATTCCTTTCTAAATAAGCAATGAATCCTGCTTGTGTGCAAATTGTTCTGTAACTAAGGCAGGCTGTGCTTTTAACTGCATTGGCTAATGTTGTAGTTTTTTGGTACATTTTCTGACTTCCTACCATAATCCCCCATCAGCCCTGCTGCATGTCCTCTTTTGGCACAGGAGGGTCTTCAGATCAGTCTCAATTATTGAATATTCACAAATGCATTCCAAAGCACACATTAATAATTCACGATTTATATTTGTTTGTGGATCGCTTCACATTTGTACGTGGGGTTTTTGAGACTCCCCTGGTGTGGCTGGATTTTTTCAGTCAGTCACCCCAATTTTCAACCAATCACATGAGCGGAGCTCCCCCGTCCCCTCGCCACGTCAGCAAACAATTAATTAAATATTAAACCACTTGCCTGCTGTCAGGATTTAGTTTGATTAAGTGCTCTAAATGACATAATAGACGCTTACTATGTTCAGGTTATTAGTTCAGAAACTATACTAGGGTATACGTGAACAGGAATTCAAGTGCAAAACCTTGATGTTTTCATCTACACGTCCAAAACCAGAACTGATGGCCATCGTCATCATCTTCTGCTCTGGAAGTGTCTGGGGAGCTTCAATTTGAAGAAGCCGGTTAATTGGGTATGTTCATGAGTCACGGAGCACCTCCTCTGATGGAAGAGAAAGGGGCAACAGAGCGGCTGCACGTAAACTTGCCATTAATGAATCAATGGTGAGACGTTGGTGACTCAATGTGAAGAACTCCGGCACGTACGTCTCGTTTTTCTGCCACGTTGACGCCTACACATCTTTTTTTCGTTCTAAATTTAGGTGGTGCGGCTTATATTCAGGTGCGCTCTCTAGTCTGGAAATTACGGCAGTTCGCAACTTAACCAAGTTAGCTAACTAAGCTTATCGAGCTACAAGATTAAACTGACTAAGAAGTTTTGAATTCACGGAATTATCTCCGCTAACGCTAATTATAACTAATCAACAACTAATAATTCATGTGCACATGTGATTGTGGTTTAAAATGATGGTGACAACTAATTGGCCACAGATAGGCCCATGTTGAAAAAAATGGATTTGCGACTCGTGCCACGTCTGCCACTCACAAATGTGAAGCGATCCACAAACGAACATGAATCGAGATTTATTCATGTGCTTAAAAATGTCTGTTTAAATCCTTCTGTGTGCACTCGTAAATTTATTTGAATTGTTCTGTGTGCATTATACAAATCTTTGTACTTGTGAGTCTTTCTGTGTGCATTCACTTATCTGCCCCCATATCGTGATTCAGCAGGGCATGCTAATGCAGTAGAAGGTAATATCATCTCAAAGCAACACTGTTGTCCCCACCACCACCCACAATGGCTCAAGTACGAGACCTGGGTCGCAATTGGTGCTCCCCAATAACTTGTAATAAAGTAAAAGCAGCCAGAAGTGACGCAGAGGGTACGTGAATGAGGAATGACTGTGCATTACACAATCCTTTATTTGTCAGATGGGAGCGAAGGATGTCCTAGCGGTTAAAGTACCCCCCTAGAGTTTCACATCTTCCAGAACAAATGTTTTATGCAAGAGATTAGAAGGGTTGTTCCCTATAGGCTGCATAATGTTATAATAGACATAAAATGACTGATAGTTGGCTGAAAATGTTTAAATCCTTCAGAGAAGTAGCTCCCATAAACTGCTTTTGTGGACGCCTCCGTCTTTACATGAATTGAGAAATCTTTTCCAAGTTGGCAGCTGTAGCTGTGGGTTCCTTCCCTGTGGTTGGCTTTTGGAGCCCGAGCCCTGACCCAGACGTACAGGAGGGATGTTTTCTGTTTGGCTCTGTTGAGAACCAATTATCTTTTAATGTTTGGGTCTCGTAGCAGACATCATGCGCTGTCCTTGGATGTCAATAAATTTGTACAGCAGTTAGGAATGTAAGCAGCAAACGGGACTAACAATCTGATCGAGCAAGGCTAATTATTGAACTGTTGTGGAACTTTAACACTGGTTTAATGGGGTAATTATATAATGCTATAATTCTTACCACAAACGGTAATCATGTTTAATAACTCACCTGCTAAACATCATTTTAGCATTGTCATGGCCTCACAGAAGTCGCGTTAACAAGACTTCTGTACACAGCTCTCATTACAATCACTATGAAGAGCACACCCTTTTAAAAATTTCAATGTGGATATTCAACATGTTCGACTCAAGAATCTGCCTATTTTGTGTCTCTGCAGGTGCCATTCGCTGTTCTTCAGGGGGAAGGGGTGGAATATCTTGGCTATGCCGATGAAGCCGTCATTGCCATTTCCAACTACCGGCTCCACATCAAGTTCAAGGACTCTGTCATTAACGTGAGCGCACGCCTGAGACCTTATGCACACAGTGGCACCACAAAAGTACAGTCTCCCTTCAGTCCGAATGAAGGGAGGGAGGGAGGGAGGGAGGGAGGGAGGGAGAGAGAGGGAGAGAGAGGGAGAGAGAGGGAGAGAGAGGGAGAGAGAGGGAGAGAGAGGGAGAGAGAGGGAGAGAGTGTGTAGTTGGACCCCTTTCCCCATACATCAAATTTATGAACACATCATTGTGCAAAACAGGCTTAAAAAAAATCAACTATTTTCCATGAAGTACCCACAAAGCGTCTGCAGTCAGATCCCCAGCATAGCTGGGTTGAAGTTGTTTGCACCAGAGATTTACCACAGGAGTGGCGAGCCCTCTGATCCACAGTCAAGAGGTTTTTTTGCAACATCTAGGCTCCAAAGGTTCGCCCCCACCACTGGCACTGATGCCCGCTCCTGCTGACGTCAGACCTTGCTCAAACACAAACGGACCAATTGTTTGCATTCACTGGCAGCAGAATTTCTCCTCCTTCCCAAATCCCAGTCATCTTTTCCAGAAGAATTTTGCCTCTGGAACAAATCACTGAGATTTGTTTGTTTTCTTAAGAGGGGGGAGAGGAGGAGGAGGAGGAGGAAGGGGGGGGGGGGGCAGAGGTGCAGAGGTGCTGAGGGCAGATCACCAGAATGTTCAGAGGAGAGACTGACACGCACATGGAGGTCAAACGTTATTTAACGTCCTGCCTTAAGCCCAGCAACATAAATGAACCCAGTATGAATGCCATCAACACCCCCATCCACCCCACCCTCCCACCATCCCTTGACTTCTATGCCATTTTCATGCCCTTTGGTCCCGTCCATGTTTGTCTTTCTCTACATACTGTTTGTTATAGATAAGTGCAAGGGCTTCTAGCAGCACGTATCTTCTATTTTTAAACCACTTCATTTCCTTTTGTCTCCTGAATGTTTTTGGTTTAATAGTTTTTTTCCATTTCCTCCTGTCTTGTGTCTATCCACCCCCCCACCCCATCCTCTCCCCCTGTATGTACTCCATGGTGTCACTGTGTTTTAGACCTACCCAGGTGTGGAAAGTAAGATATCTGTGAGTACCATGTGATGACCCATCCCCCCGTCTAGACAGCTCAAGTTATTCATTTGGAGCGATTGCAGTGTGCCGTGGATGAATTGTAATTTGTACTTGACCTAGTCATTGTTATTGTCTGTGGAAGTAGAAACTGTTATTGTGGTGCAGCGTGTTGGCTGACCGTAAGAACCGTTTTTGCTTTACTATTGTTTTACTTTAAGACTATATCTTACTAAGATCAAAGTGACGTTGCGTGGGTGATCCAAGCTGCGCCTTTTATAAGACCTCACAGGATAATATGACAATTTAGAAAGGAGAATAAGACATCCTGCGCATCGGAAGTCTATAGCTGTTGATTTCCTCTGGACCTGTGTCAATACCAAAGTCAGAACACTTCCCAGTCTTTCTTCTCCTCCACAGAGAGCTCACAAAGCCTTGCTGTGTATAGTAGACCTGTAGAACGTACAAAGTCCAGACTAAAGGGTGCTGACCTTTTTAGAAGCTGGGTGCTGTCTGCTCTGCCAGCAGCCTATCAAGCCAATCACACGTACTCTGTGTCTCCTCTCCAGGTGCCTCTCAGGCTCATAGAGAACGTGGAGAGCAGGGATATGTTCCAGCTGCACATCATCTGCAAAGACTCCAAAGTTGTCCGGTAAGGAGAGACGCTCGCTCACTCGCTGAATAAGCCCTATTTGACCCTGCAGGTAGATAGGTTATTAACGTGAGTAAATACAGAGCGGTGGTCTGATATACTTTAGATTGAATTGTCATATGCCCACTACGTTCTACTACAACACTATAAACAGCATGTTCATGGACATCTGTGACGTTCAAAATGAGGGTTTTGTTTCAAGACTGGAACACCTTTTTTCATGTTTTTCTTCTCGCAGTCGCTACTACATGAAGTTGTAAGAAGATATTTTGTTCAACTCCTCTTCATCCATCTTCCTAACTTTCGTGTTGGGTTTTCTACAGATGCCACTTTGCAACGTTCAAGCAATGCCAGGAGTGGGTCAAGCGCCTGAACCGGGCCGCAGCTCACCCGTCCCGCCTGGAGAACCTGTTCGCGCTGGCCTACCACGCGTGGTGTCTGGGAGGCAACGTTGATGACGAGGACCAGCACATTCATCTCTGCCGCCCAGGTCAGCGCAGCAATGGATACTGAACTTTCGTTTCCAAAGTGGGATCTGTTATTTTGTGGAAATGTTGTTATTCTTAAAGAAATAATCTTCCCTTCTTACTCTGTCTGCATGCACAGGTGATCACGTCCGTCAGAGAATGGAAATGGAGGTCAAGCGGATGGGCTTCGACACACAGAACGTCTGGAGAGTGTCAGACCTAAACTGCAATTTCAAGTAGGTCATAGACACTTACACATGGATATCAGATCGCTGTACAATGCTGTTACTATAAAGAGTTATGAAGGGAATGGTGAGTGACCCTTTTTCAATAGAGACGGACTGGGATCAGACAGCATTTAGACACAGTAACTGCATGCGTCCCAGTTGAATAGATGAAGAGCAACTTGTGGCCATATGGGCTTGCATATCTCAGCACTGTGTAGCAATATGTAACAGCCCTTCAATTACAGGAGTACCCTGGTTATTATGTCCATATACACATTATCATCACGTCATCACTTTTGGATTTGCTGTGATTCACCAAAGTCATTGAATTTGAACAGAATGTTCTTAAATCCGTAAAAATAGAGAAAAAGCTTCTTCTTCTAACTCTTTGTCCTAGCATCTGCATTGTTCTTTCCAACATTTATAGATTTGCAGTGTGTTTTATACAATCCTCATGTTACTAAAATAATAGTAAAATACTGAAAGTAGCTTATTTAGCGATTGAAACGGGCATTGTGGAGGCGGATCTGCCTTCAACAACTCCTTGTGTCTGACCTCATACCTGTGGTCCTCTTACCAAGTATTTAACAAGACACACAAGTAAATTACTTTGTAGCACTCGCTTAGGAACAATGCGGTACACCGCGTGTGCGTGTGCGCGTGCGCATCAAACTCTTCTGTCTCCTTTGCTGTCTGGATAAATAAACGCTATATAATTGTCAGTCTGCTCGGAGAACACATCCTGCTGAGGAAAAGACACACAGGACAACCAGCTAATTAAACAAACCGCAGCCTGCTGAGGCCCATGACTCAGCACACCGTGTTTCTCACACACACACACACACACACACGCACTGTCACCTCCCTCCATAGACCGTCAGCAGGTGAACAGACAATGAAGAAAGTACTATGAGGAGACCCAACAGCAGATGGAGTCAGGCAGTCACACTGATTTGTTCTCAGCCTGAGCTGAGAGTTCCTGATGAAGTAGTGACCCTGAAAAACAGAATGTTGTTGTCTGCACCTCAATGTCACTATTTTGTCTTTGTTTGGGGGCTTTGTTAACTTTTGATGATTCTCTTCACTGAGTCTGGCTATGAATGTATGCAGCTGTGTGCATAAGACATTTCATCTTTTAGAGATCGAGTCTTGTCCATGTTGCCCACAGGCTTTGCTCCAGCTACCCACAGAAGCTCCTGGTTCCAATCTGGATCACAGACAAGGAGCTGGAGAGTGTGGCTTCTTTCAGATCCTGGAAGAGGATCCCTGTGGTAGTCTACAGGTGGCTTTACTAACCGACAGCCATATACTCACTGTCACATCACATGTCCTATAACTTTTTACTTGTTTACTGACGTTATAACCTTGACCCCCAGGCACCAGAAGAACGGGGCAGTGATCTCCCGATGCAGCCAGCCTGAAATCAGCTGGTGGGGCTGGAGGAATACTGATGATGAGTACTTGGTGACCTCTATCGCCAAGGCGTGTCAGATGGACACCGGAGGCAGGGATACCTGTGGAGCACTAGCCTGCCGACAGCGCGGGGAAGCTCACGACTCCTCCGATAGTGATTTTGGTAAAGTGGTTTGATTTATGCTGGCAGATTCATGCATGCAGCACTGGAACAGTCAAGCTTTCAAGACTGCATTCAAATCTGGGCTGATTATGTGAAAAATGTTCACTTGTTTCATTTTAGGTTGTAAGCAACAGCAACACTGGTTGCGTCATCAGGTGGAAATATATATATTTTTAGTAGGTTACCAATGGTTCATTTCTGCTAATGATGCCCCTGGTTCTTTTCTGACTTCCTCTGTCTACTTTTAGACTTTTTATCTCCGCCTCTCCTCAGCAGTTCCATGCACATACAGTAAAATTGATCTCTATCTCCAGACTCCTCTCTGACGGGCGGCTCCGGCTGCGATGAAAGAACTGTGCCACAGAAGCTGCTGATTCTGGATGCTCGCTCGTACACCGCTGCAGTGGCCAACCGAGCCAAGGGCGGAGGCTGCGAATGTGAAGGTCAGTTAGTGCGACCAAACATTCCAAAAATGTTGTCTACAATCAGTGAATTATTTTTGGCCTGAATGTGTGTTTTCAGGGCCAGATTTAGGGATTAAGTTCCCTTGGCAAACCATGTCTTTTATTACTAGATTTAAAACTATTGACTATAAATTTTAATTCTAATATTTCACACTGCAAGGTTTACTTCAAGTGAAGTGAAAGGGAGGCACAACTTAATTAAGTTCTTCCTAGTAACAATTTAAATACTAACTATTTTCATTTTGGGACCCCGCTCCAAACAGTCCCTTCAGATTCTACATTCTAACTCCTGTCAGCCAAAGAATGAGCTAAAATCACTGAAGGATACGAGTACGTAATGTGGGTCCTTGCTGCTTTTTAATCACATGTCTCTTCTCCATCCTGGATGGTAAACCGTGGCTTCGCTATGCACAGTGCCACACCTACTGAGAATATTTCCCATATGACATTCAGAAAGTGATTACTGCCACTGTGATTACAGTATCTCAGAAGTGAAGCCTTGTTTATGTCTTCATCAGAGTTGTTTGTTTGTATTTAGAGTACTATCCCAACTGCGAGGTGATGTTCATGGGAATGGCCAACATCCACGCCATCAGGAACAGCTTCCAGGCTCTGAGGACCGTCTGCAGTCAGATCCCGGATCCAGGGAAGTAAGTCGATCTGTTTGACCTTTTCTCTGTGAGCGGCTCTGCCTTCATTTGTGCCTCCCTCCCTTTTAAATGCTTCACCTCACAGTAAGGCAGAAATGGGAACGCTGCCACTATCCAGTCTCCTTCCTGCTGTGGTGGCCAGCTGCCTGTCTGTACACACTGAAAGTGGATATGTTTGTAATGTACAAACATATCCACTAACATCTGTGGGTTTACACTTCTCAGATTCTGTGTATTTTATGTCAGGAGGCCTGTCCAGTACATAGGTTACCCCGCTGCTGTTGTGTCCCACCAGGCTATTTTAAGACTGGATGATATTCTGATGGGAGTGTGTCATGGTGTAGGGAGGCCTCCATATATTAAGGTCAAAGGTATCCTTTTTCCCCAGCAGCCTAACTTAACCCTGGGTTAGCAAAGCTCATGTATCCAGTATCTACGCTCCAGATCACTTGTGTTGGGACAGTCTATATCGATTCGGACTTATCTAATCTGTCCCTTGTGGTGTTTCCAGCTGGCTTTCGGCACTTGAGAGCACCCGTTGGCTGCAGCACCTGTCCGTCATGCTGAAGGCGGCCACTCTGGTTGGTTCTGCGGTGGAGAGGGACGGCCGTCCTGTACTGGTGCATTGTTCGGACGGGTGGGACCGCACACCCCAGATTGTAGCCCTCTCCAAGATCCTGCTTGACCCCTACTACAGGACATTAGAGGTTTGAATCTGCACATTTTGGCCCCAAAACATTCCATGTAGTTGGATTTTAGATTGTAGATACTTTGTGGGATAAACGAGGAGATCTTTTTTTTTTTTTTTAAGTGTCCATTGCGAGTTTGACAGGATTATTATTGCTGATTGATTGCAGCAGTCTTCTCAGTACAGTTGTTGCATTGTAACCTCATCACCTCAGTACTGACTATCGTGTCGTCCACAGGGCTTCCAGGTGCTGGTGGAGACTGAGTGGTTGGACTATGGTCATAAGTTCGGGGACCGCTGTGGCCACCAGGAGAACGCTGATGATGTCAGCGAGCAGTGTCCCGTCTTCCTGCAGTGGCTGGACTGTATTCACCAGCTGCTGAAACAGTTCCCGTGCCTATTCGAGTTCAACGAGGCCTTCCTGGTTGGTGCTGCGGACTTTGTACATCTTTAAGGAAATCATTAGCATTGTGAAAGTTCTGACTTCATGCTTCACGTGTCCTCCACGTGTGTCCAGGTCAAGTTGGTGCAGCACACATACTCGTGTCTTTACGGGACCTTCCTGTGTAACAATGCTCGCGAGAGGGAGATGAGGAACATCTACAAACGCACCTGCTCTGTGTGGTCCCTGCTTCGCAACGGAAACAAGAACTTCCAAAACTTCCTCTACATCCCCAGTCACGATATGGTACCTGTCCACAGTTTCCTTACACTGTTTTATACCATTATACTACCATTATACTGTTAATGAATCATGTGAGTCAACCATTAAAGCCTCCTACTTTTGGAGGATTTGCTGAAAGGAACACTGTTAATGTATAGTGGTTTCCTTACATCTTCAAACTATATATATGAAAAAGCATTGGTTGTAATTGTCCCCACCACCTCTTTGTGTGCCAGGTTCTGCAGCCAGTGTGCCACACGCGGGCTTTACAGCTGTGGACAGCTGTGTACTTGCCCACCTCGTCCCCCTGTACCGCTGTGGACGATTCCATGGAGCTCTACTTCCCCCAGAGTGTCACCGGAGATGAACTCCGCTCCCTGGACAGGTGGGTTGGTTTGATGCAAATGTGATCGGTTACACCAAGGGTGTCAAACTCATTTTGTACACACCAGAACAGTAAAATCATAGACAATATGGTCCGGCCAACGGGGGGGGGGCGCATTTTTAAGCGATCGCTGCTGTCTGGTTGGTTCCAGTCCGTCCGCAGACGATTTAACAGCACTGCCTTGGCCATCGACCTGGTCTAATGCATGCGCTCACTCAGAGTGAGACCCCCAGTGGAATGATTAGGAATAGCAGCTACTTTTATAGAAATGTCTTTCTGTAATTCTCACATGCACACAATAGTCATCCGGTGGATTCGGCCCGCGGGCCTCGAGTCTGACAAATATGGGTTACACAGTATCTGTACTCTTTATCAGGCTTTAGCAGCCCCTACATACATTCATTTAAATACTCCTCATGTTACAGAGCGCCAGAGAGCCCTCTACAGTCTGAAAGAGAGAATGGCAAAATTGCCGTAGCTGTATCTGTTGAGGAAAAAACAAACCTTATGTAATTTCTGGTTTGCAGACTTCCCAAGACCCGCTCCATGGACAACTTGCTATCCGCTTTTGAGAACGGGGTGGCTCTGACACGAACCTCCAGCGATCCAAATCTCAATAAGCACTGCCAGGAGGGCCGCACTGCCCCAGAGTCCTCCCCAACAGTTGAAGAAACCTCTGCCGACCTGTCTGAGGAGGTCAAACCTGACACCAGCCTGGACAGAAATGAGGGGGAAGCTCTGCTAGAGAGTCCTTCCAAGACCCCCGAGGGTGTCCTGGGTGCCGAGAGCTGTGAGGACACAATGGAGGAGCCCTGTCTCACCACACAGCCCCTGCCCTCTCTGCCCCTGTCCCCGGTTCTACTGGGTAAGGATGTTGCACTTGCTCACACTCCCTCCCCCACTCCTGTCCTTCAACATCCTTGGCCCCAGATAACCAACCCTCCACCACCGCTGGAGGCCGAGAGCCCCCGTAGGACTGGCGAAAGCACAGCCTCACCCACTCACAGATCAGAGCCCTGCTTACCTCTCCGCTGCAAGGGCACTGAGCCCGCAGCCGCAGCCCCCACCTCGCTGCTGAGCGGCCACCCTGAGGGGCAAGAAGACGGTTCCCCAGAATCTGCACATCTGCTGGCTCTGAAGCCGCAAACGACGCTCCTGCCCATGGAGGACTCCACAGAGACTCTCACAGGTGATGGAGACCTCCCGCCCACCCCGCCTCCCACAGTGAGCCCGGACCTCACCAAGAGTCATCTGTACGACAAAGAGAAGCCGGAGTCGCAGCCACAGGTGCAACCCCCCGAGGAGAAAGAGGACACGAGGCCAGATGGGGTGAGCGGAAAAGAGCCCGTGTTAACCGTTGCAGTAGCTCCCTTCGACAGTAACCAGGCAGCCCCCCGTCACCTGACGTCCCACAGCCCCTTCACCGACCTGTCCCTGCTGGGTTCCCACTGGGAGAGCGTCCAGGGTCTGGTGCAGTCCGCCTGCAGCAGTGCCAGTCACTATGGCGTCAGCCGCGCCTGGCAGCACAACGCCTACCAGAGCCGCCGGCTTGCCTGCAAGCTCCTGCGCTCCCAGGGTGTCGCCGCGGCCAACGGCTCCCAGGTCTGCCGCAGGGAGGCCCTCTGCTACCCCAGCAGCCCCCTGCAGGCCCTGCAGTCCGCCGCCAGGAGCGCGGGCTACAGCGGCCTGTGCGCTCCCGGCCGCAGCCGCCCTCAACAGCGCCTCCGTGGCGGGGCATCAGCTCCTGCCGGCGTCCCTACTCCTCGCTCTTTGCTTCCAGCTCCCCTCCCCCGCCCCAAGCCCCGGCCTACCTCGATGATGACGGGCTTCCCGTGCCCATGGACGCCGTGCAGCAGAGACTACGGCAGATCGAGGCAGGCTACAAGCAGGAGGTGGAGGTGCTGAGGCAGCAAGTGCGCCAGCTGCAGATGAGGCTGGAGAGTAAACAGTACAGCAGCCCTCCCTCGGAGCCCGACATCGACTACGAGGATGACATTGTGAGTCATTTGTTTCAGTCTAGTCTTTTCTGAGAGCAGCGTTTGTAGGTGTTTTTTCTCTCTTCTCTCATTCGCACCCCCTAACCTCATGTCTCTCTCTCTGTTTTCAGACCTGTTTGAGAGAGTCAGACAACAGTAACGAGGAGGATTCTCTCTCGACCCACAGTGAGGACCGCCTGTCTGAGGGCAGCTGGGATCGAGTGGATCGCAAAGACACAGAGGTCCGCTTTCTTCATCATTTCTATTTCAACTCTTCACACCTTCCTTCTCTCCTTCACCTGTACGGCTCCGTTCTGATAGGTGTGTGTGTGTGTGTGTGTGTGTGCAGGTCACAAGGTGGGTGCCTGACCACATGGCCTCTCACTGTTTCAACTGTGACTGTGAGTTCTGGATAGCAAAGAGACGTCATCACTGCAGGTGGGGGTTCACTCTGGTTTACCTAAATATACAATCAATCTCAAAATATCACATTAAGTCAGGAAAAATAAAAAGGTAGGTAGATATATGTGTGTTTACACACTCTGACATTAAGTGTCAGTACGTAGTAATTTAATTACTCAAAACGTTTTTTTTGTCTTATTGAATTAACTAAGTTGATTCAATAAGTTTATCTTGTTCATTGTGAGATGTCTGTTTTTTTAGAAAATACTTTGACATTTGAATACTTTGAATACTATTTTTGTGACTTAACACAACCGGTCTTTAGTAACAACTCAAGAATTATTATGAATTAATTTTGTGCTGAGTGTAGCCATATTTTAATCTTTAGTCTGCGTGGCCCCTCATGAAGCAGCCTGCTGTATCTGTAGCTAATGCGACGTGTAGCTGTATGTGCACAGACACTACGGTCAGACTCCATTCAGTTCTGCTACCGGGCCTGAATACTGACTTAAAAATGTACCACACAGAATTATAGTTTTTTATGTACCAAAGTATACTAACTTGGTTTGGGGGTCTTCATCTTCAGGAACTGTGGCAATGTGTTCTGTAAAGACTGTTGTCATCTGAAGCTGCCCATCCCGGACCAGCAGCTGTATGACGCCGTGTTGGTCTGCAACAGCTGCCACGACCTGCTGCTGGTGGCTCGAACCCGCGACATCCGCAGCCAGCAGCTCAAGAAGGCCATCGCCACCGCCTCCAGCTGAGAGAAGTGTCTTGTAGCGTGGCCCCGCCTTGGCTCTGTCCTGCTCCTTTTGGACCAATTAGCTGAGCCCCCTCACTCCCCTCCCGCAGCGAGAATTGTTACTCTTTGGGAGGCTCGGTCTGGGAACGGAGTTGCTCTGTGAGACTGTCTGAAGGATGGAGAGGAGGAAAGGTGTGAGACGGAGATGTGCCCGCACGGGGGGGGGGGGGTCCTGTAAAGAAAGACCCTTTCCAGGTTGAAGCACTGAGGCGTCGAGTGGCCTCCACACAGCTCCGTCCTCTAGCAGCGCCCTGTCCGAGACACACCTCCCCATCCCGGCCCCCCCATTAGGAGTCACGCACCTTTAGCACCAAACATCTGCACCCTCCTTATAGACACCGTCTCCTACTTCAGAGGACAATCTACCACCCTTCCACGCGTCGGGGACTCCAAAGCCTTGACCCGTACTACTGGAGGCTTTCAACTAAAAGAAAAAAATTGCTGCTACAGTATTTAAAAGTCTAATTTTGTATTCTTATTTTGTGCACTACTAGCTGTTGTGTGTGTGTGTGTGTGTGTGTGTGTGTGTGAGGGACTTTGAGACCAAACTTGGGCAAAAGGGAGAAATCTGCTGTTTACTTTGTCGCTGCATCGTTTTCTTGGGGCCTGAATGTAATATGTAATGGATAACTGGATCGAGTCTATGTGCATTTGGTGGGCCGTATGTGTTCATTGCTGCAATGTGTTTTCAAAACGATGTATGTGCACCGTCCACGTGGTTCTGTCTTTTATCAATGCTTTTCGTGTGCAGGGACCGTTGGGAAGAGCAGATTTCTGTAATATCTACTTCTGATGTGAGAATGTGACGTTGGAGGATACCTTGATGTGCCGGAGGGAAGTTTGTTTTGTTTTTGTCCGGTGGAGACGTGCGAATGAATGAGCGTCCACATGAAGCTTGATGTCCATCTGACTGATGACTCCTTCTCGGATGGTGAGCTGGCAGTGATGACTGCTCTGGAAATGACTGAATAAAGTGCTTTGAGTTTCCTGTTCCGTTGAGGGGAGTTTGGCCACAGTCCGCTTTTAAAAATGTGTTTGTGTCTCCTGTTTTCTTCCTTGAGACGATAGTGCCATATTAAGTTCTGTCTAATTTTAAAGACTTTGTTCCCTTCTGGATGGCAGCCGGTTTCTAATTGGCCACCTAATGTCTGTTCTAAAGTACAGATAGTTAGCAGCTTAATTGAGACAACTAAAGATTAACAGGTGGTTCGGTTTGATAGTGAGGCTCCCCGTTGCAATGAATGATGAGAGATGTCACTAAGTTAGTTAACCTGTGAGGTTATCCAATGTCTAATATTTGGAATCTTTTCACACGGTGTTCAAAGTCCAAATCTTTAAGAGGAACTCAGAAATGTAACATACAGATTGATCTGATCCTGAGTGGTGGCTAAAACTTATCACTTACTGAATAATTGTTGTTAAGAAATGCACTGTAAAAGTCAAATCCCATGGGTTAAAATAAAAGATTATATCGTGGATCTGTTTCTGCTTTTTATTTTTTACTCAGTTTTCAAAGGTTTTAGGCATCAATGTGCAATTTCCAAAGTCAGGAGATGAGCGTGTGATTGCAAGCAAATCCGGCTGAAAAACCAAAACCGGTCTACGACACACTGTAAATACCCTGGTAAATAATAGAAGAGGAAGAGTATAATTGAAATAATAAAATGAAACTAAATTAAATCACTAAAAGAAAGTGAAAGTCAAATGCTCAACTTTGTACCATGAAATTCCATTTGGACAGTTTTTAAAACAGTTTTACCGTTTACCCGACACTCACTTGTAATCAGCATACTGGATGATATGCCTATCATCCAGTATGCTGTGGACTTTTTACTGACTTGAGTTTTTTTTTGTTTTCAACAATTCTATGGAATATTGTATTTCACGACATCTTTCACTATGAATTTTTTACATACACATGTTATGACTTTTTTTCACACAATATAATAAGCCTTTATTATACTTTTTTCTAGTTTTTCTTTTTTTTTTTTATATAATTTTGAAATGTTTTACAAGTTAAGCTGAGTAACTTACTCATTGCGTTTTCGAAATCGTCTATACTATGGCTTTACTATGGCTTTTTAAATTGTGCCTTGACTTTTTCATGATTATTTGTTTTTCAAAATTATGCAAAACTATTCAACTTACAAAATGTTACTTTTTATATGAATATTACTCTATTGCTTTTCCTGATTTATCTTTGTCCTCTACAGTAACGTCCTTCTTTCTTCAAAATACTAAATTACTTTCTATCCCCCTTTTGGTGACACTACCATAAGATTCACTTCAGTACTATAAACTGATTTTTTTTTTGTTGTATTTTATGACTTTTTTTTTTCTTTGACACAATATATTATGACTTCAATAAGACATTCATTCCTAATTTTGTTGTACACTGTGTGACTTTTTCCGCCTACTGTACTATTACTGTTGGGAAACATTGTCTATGCGGCGCTGTCCGGGGTTCTGAAACAAGCATAAGTAATATTTACGGAGGCTGTACCAAAGGTCGTAGTTCTTACATCAGATCTTCTCTTAAGGTTGAATACAGTTTTGAGTGTGTTTATTCACTATTCTATTTCATTTCTGGATGACTTTTAAAACATAGTATCACTTCTTGCAAAGTGTTTCAATATACTTATATACTATGACTCTTATGACTTTTTAAACATACTTTACCAAATATTTTTGGCATATGCCTTTTTAAAGTGTTCTATACTATGAGTTTTTCAGTGTGCTTCTGCACAAGTCGTTTAGGTTTTAGCCGCAGCACACTGACTATTCGTGTTGTCCGGACATTAGTCAAATAAGCATGCATCATTTTGGGATAAAAGGTTAGGACATGTTGTGCTGAATCTTAAGTCAGGACATGTTGTTCTGGTCGGTGACATGTGACTATGGAATCCAAAAGACACCTTTTGCCACAGTCCCCAGGGAGTGAGACAAAGTCCAACTAACTCGCTCCATCTGGACCAATGTTACATCTGCTGACCAATTCCTCAAAGAAAGAAGACGGTACAAATTTTTTACTTTTTGACAGAGTCTTACTTATGACGTATACCTCCCCGTTCGGCAGAGTGTTGAGTCTCTATTGAAATCTTAATCTTTTTTGATTGGACTTTTTGATTTTGCATCTAGGGCCACTAGTTTGATTTTGTGGGAAATCTGTCCCCTCTTTCTTTCTCGATTAGTTTGCCTCTAATCACAAAGGTGATTGATGGGAGTTAATTAGTGCAGTCACTCACACAGGCACACATACACATCTTGCAAACGCCCCCCTGTCCGTAAGTAAATTATCTAAAAAACAGACAGTTACAGTAAATTCCGTCTCAATCAGCAGACTATGATGCTTCATGCGCTGTAAATTGTAGTGTAATTAAGGTCGAAAAGGGATGAAACACTTCGAGTATCCGGAAACTAATAAATTAAGAAAAAAAACATCCAAGCGCTTCCTCCATTTGTCCACCAGATGGAGCTTTTTTATTACTGGTAGTAGTAAAAAATCTGTACTTTGTTGGTGGTCTTCAAGAAGACCGCCACATTCAGTAAATCATACCAAGAGATCTTTGCATAGTTCACAATTATGGATTTATTTTCTCTAGTAGAGGCTGTAAGGATCATCCATTATAAGCCTCAATTCCTTTACTGCAAAAACATAGGAATGTTCTTCACACACACAATCAAGCCCATTTTCCTCATTTGCCCAAGAACAGTAACGCAAGCTGAGTCATGTTCATGTTTCTATTCATTTTCTTAGGGTATTTTTATCATGGGAAAACAACACTTTATAGGAAATGTTATTATAAAAAATAACAGAAAAACAAAAAAAGGACACAAAAACCAGAGAAAATCATGCACCTGGCAAAGATTAGGTCGGGGAAAACATATTGCCTATATAAGTAATACAAAACGAATACATACATACAAACTTGTCAAAACAATCTTACAACACATCAACAATGTCGTCAGTCAGGCAGGTCAGCCTTGTATTTCATCCAAATGACAGATGGTAGGAATTTTGTTCCGTTGTCCGGGTCACAACATTTCTTAGTTTTAGGATTATATGCACAGGATCGCATCTTGGTTGTGTGGTAGTTTTACTTTTGAAGATAATAGAAAACTCTTGCAGACAAAATCCCAAAATATATGAGAAAACAGAAACCCAGGTGACCAGATCGGGCCAGTCTGTCGTTATTGGATCCACCTTGCCCACTTTGCTGCGCATGCAATTTCAGTCCAGTTTTCTACAGAAGGTGGGTCGGCTTGTAACCATTTACGGGCTTTTGTTGCTGCTATTGTATTTTCAAGGTGGTATTTTTCCTTTTGCACTTTCATCCTATGTAAAAAACACATCATCTATCATCCCCTATGTATAAAACACTATTTTATACATAGTTTCCCATTCCCATCTCTCCGTAATATATATTGTATTCGTTTCTACACCTTTCGCAATTCACTTTCGACTTTTGAAATCACTAGTTTAGAGCCTTCCTTTATAGACCCTTTCTGTCAATTAGATTTTTTCATTAGGTTCTATTGTTACCTGTTTATTAATGTCTTTTAAAAATCAAAAAAAATGTTTTTACTTCCAGGCTGTATTTTTCCTCCAAGTTGATTCATGTTTTTTAAGAGGAAATTACCAATAACTGAGTAGGTTTCTACTCTGTAAGAATGACAGTTTTTCTATAGGAAACACTGCTGGGAGACAATGACATGTCTTTGCAAAGTATTGCACTTACTCCACAGGTTCTCTGTATGTTGTGAATTGGAAAATGTACCTTATTCCAGATATTAGGTGTTGGTATTACTCTGTGTATGTTTTGAATTTGTTGATTATTGAATTACTTTTCACACTTCTGCCCCACTGCATTTGAGAGGGAAACAGTTTACATTTTACTGTCATGCATTTAACAGTTACTTTAATATGATGCATTATCAGCCCATTACTACCAAGTAACACCGTATATTAATGCATTTATATTCATAAAAAACCTGCCTACATTTAGTTGCGTTTACCTTAATAATAATGTTTCTTATTAAACCATGCTATTTTTAACATCAAAGTAAAATCTGTAACAGGCTGATATTGCTTACAGTAAAGGACAAAGGGGAGGTAGTTTTAGTCCTCTAATAATAATATTCATCTATTTCCTTACAGTTAATCATCTGAGGGCCACCTTCAGTTACCTGTGGAGCAATAGCTCATTGCTCAGCCACATTGATCATTAACTCCATCAGTCCCCTAAGTGGCTTACCTGCCCCCATTCACCGGGATGCAGTTCTATCGACGCCTTGTGATGATTTGATTAGATCTGCCTTCCTCACACCAGGAGCCAATTGATACCCCCCCTCCCCTCATTGGAGCTCTTATCAGTGGGGAGCTTTATTAGAGACGATGCCCAAAAGGGGGAGGGGCCACTGTTTCTTTGATAGATAAGTATTAGACCCCCTGCAAGAATGCGATCACAGTAGAAAAACAAGTCATTGTGTTTTCTTCCCTCGGCCGAGTCAGCTCCAAAATGCAGCAGCTGATCCTGCCCGTTCTCCTGGTGTCATTTTTGACAACTTGCACAAGAGCAGGAGGTAGGTGTGCTTTCTTTTCATGGACATTATGTCCTACAACCAGAGGTTTGCTTATATTTTAACAAATTAGTAACCTTACTAGGAGAGGAAATGTTTTTCCAGGTTTGAACCCTGTCTTTTAATATGTATTTCTTATATTTCTGATTCAAATCTGTGAGTTGTGTCATCTAAGAATGAATATAATTGATTCTATGTAAGTTTATTATATTAATCAATAAGGTGAATGAAGCTTCTCAATGAGAGGAATGAGTGGTTGCTATTTTTTTACCAGTTTTTCCAACCATGTCAGTTACTATTTAATGAGAGTTTATTTAAGTTAATCTATTACAGAATCTCTCGAATTTGGTCTAAATCTAAAAATAGATTCAGAGGAAGCGCAATTTCTCCCCAGATGAATGAGAGGCTCGATCATCGGTAAAAGCGTGACGCTCTCCACACACACACACACACACACACACACACACACACACACACACACACACACACACACACACACACACACACACACACACACACACACACACACACAGTCCAGTCCCAAACCTGCACTCTCCTCCTCTCTCAAGAGCAGATAGCTCATTTATAACTGAGTCAAAGACAAAAGCTGCAAGATCCAAACGAGCTGAGCGCCCTTTAGTGCCGCTTAGGTATGGTATGGTCTCTCTCTCTCTCTCTCTCTCTCTCTCTCTCTCTCTCTCTCTCTCTCTCTCTCTCTCTCTCTCTCTCTCTCTCTCTCTCTCTCTCTCTCTGCCGCAGAGAGATGCGTCAAGCTGCGCACAACCAGTGCTCCAAATTCCCAGCAGGTGATTGAGACGCGTTGACTTCAGTGAAACATCCCCGAGGGTTAAAACTGAGACTCTATCGGTGTGCACTTATGACAAATATCAGTCATCGGTGCTCCTTCGGTGCATGTGAGGAGGTGCAGGATGCTGCTCCTCCTCACATGCACGCGGAGAGGAGCACCTCTGCGTCTCTGCATAGTCGCTAAATCACTTCGACGTTCTGATGAAAAGGCAAACTTGACACGGTGAATAAAAGAGGCCATATTTTCTAACTCGTGGTAAACGCAACAAAAAGATGCCGCGGGGACACGCAGAGGTTCTCGGTCTCTCCTTGTCTTTTGAACCGCGTGCTCGAGTTCACGTCTGGCTCAGACAAACACGTCCGTGCCCGCAGCGCGCGTTCACGCGACATTTCCCACTGCGGTCAATGAAACCTGTTGGTTTTCCTTTCCTCGTCTTTTGTTTTCTTCTCGACTGTTTCTTCAGTTTGCTCTGATGACTAAAGTTCCAGGATCCTTTATAACCTTTGTATGTTGTTCTCTGCAAGCACGAGACATCAAAGCCAAGCAGCCATTGGTCAAGAATTGTGCGGACAGTAATCTGATTGGCTGAGATGAAAAGTCACGTTGAGCCATAGAGATATTTATAAAGAGCCGATAGTGAAGTGTTTCCATCCCTTACGCAAGTAAAACTAACAATACCACACTGTAAAAATACTCTGATACGAAGTAAAAGGGAAACACAAACAGCGCGAGAACTTATCTTTAATTAACAACTCATTAATTAGTAACTAAGTAGTTTCGAGTTTGTTTACATGATTCGTTCATCATTTGCCCCTTTACACATTTTTCAAATAGCGAATCCTTTGCCGCTTTAATAAATTATAAGTGACTCGTATTAACTAATGGTTCACTAGCAATTAGTTGATTAGTACTGTAGTGTAAAGTGTGAGGAGAAATATTCAACCAGCAAATGTAGACTAATTAAAGTAAAAGCAGCCTATATGCAGAGGACTGTTAATGTTATAACATCAGTACTATTTCTGTTGTAGCCGTAGTTGGTGAAGGTGAAACAATTTTACTAGACTTCCTTCCTAGAGTTCCTCTCAGTTTGTGGAATTCATAGCTGTACATCACATTCTCATCATCTCACATCAACTCCATAAAATATCTCAAAAATAAATACTTATGCCTAGCAAATAAATGCAATGGAGTAAGTAAAGTACTTTGGTGTAAATTTACCTCCCACCACTGCTTACACGTTAAACAGAAGTCATAATACATTGGGCAATGCATAAAATATTTTAATATTGAATCAGACTACAACAATTTATTCTCTATATGTACAGCTACCAATATAGCGAATAATGGCACCAGTGGATACACCTGCCAAAATAATAAACCAAACCCTGACTTCCTTCACAAACACTGAGAGGAATCACCAGTCCAATAACAAGCAGGAGACAATCCCTGCATCTTTTCAATGGCATGTGTGTTTCTCATCAATATTTGATTTGTGAGATAGCTGCAGATATTTGTCTGTACGGGATGGAAACATCCAAACCAATTATTAAATATTAATAAACCCTCAGACAAACATGTGGGAATGGGGCCTCGCTGATGTAAAATATTGGCTCTGTGTTTATTCTGATAGCACAGAAAGATACAGACCAAACGGTAACTTTTTGTAAAAAGGCAATTCCGATGTATTAGGGCTATTTGTATGGCTGGGAATAACAAATCCCATACATTGGAGAACAATTCAGTGTTTGCAATAAGGGAGGAGTTTAATAAAGGGAGGGAGTGATTAATAATAAAAAGACAGATTTTTAAAAAGAAATAAAAGGACACACAAATGATCAAACTGGACATTGTCAGTGTTTATTCTAAGAAGAAACACTCACAATAGGCCAAGGGGTCAGGGGTCAGCAGTGTAGGCTGACTGACGGGTGTTGTACTGTTTACCGTGTTTGCTTTATACATTAAATGGCGAGCTACACGGTTTTTAACATGCATTTATATTCTTCATATTTCAGATTGGTGTTATCAGTCCCAGTTTGCCTGTGACCATCAGTGCAATGGTAAGCCTCATTAACTACTAAAAGTGTAATGTTATTTGATCTATTGATTTATTTATATGGTACTTTTCAAAATCAAGTTACGTGCTTCACATAAATCCAACAAATGTTATGTACAATAAAATACAAACAATTAAGATGAAGAGCAATTTAACTAATTCAAATTAAAAATAATAAATGCAGTAAAAGCTGAAACTGAAAGAACTTCTGAGAAAACAAAAAAATCGTATTGTTTTCTTTTAAATAATATATCTAAATGTAACATATTGATGGAGAAGACTGATGAGTCACTGCGGAACTCCAAACCCAGCAGTCCAACTTGTTTAACTCCGTCCTTTTGCTTATTTCAGCGCCAGGCAACTGGAACCACGCCCACAGCGACTGTGAAGGAAGGAACCAGTCGCCCATCAACGTGGTCACCAGAAAGACTCTGAAAGACGAGCGGCTGACTCCCTTCAAGTTCGACAACTACCAGCAGATCTTCAGAGCCACAATCAAGAACAACGGCCACTCGGGTGAGCATGCCTTCCAATTCTCATCAGATGGCCGTCAGTGCTGTGGCGCTCGTTTTGTGACGTCTTCACGCCCGATGCGTGCCTACTGCAGTTCAGGTTGGAGTTCCGAACCTGAGCACCATCTCGGATGGGGGTCTACCCGGCGGCTACAAGGCCGTGCAGTTCCACCTGCACTGGGGCAACAATGGAGGGCCTGGCTCCGAACACACCATCGATGGGGAGCAGTATCCCATGGAGGTACCGTAATACGCACACACACGTCCTGGCTTCTGAGTTCTGAACTGAAGCTCTAAAAGGTTTGCAAACTCTTAAAAGCTGGAAACTCAATAGAAAAATCAAACCAACAGTTTGAACTAGGATCATAGCCAGGTTCTCCCTATAAACGTAAAGTTTTCAAATTATATATATATATATATATGTTAAACGTTAATATAACGTTATAACGTTAAATATATATATTAATATATATATTTTTGGAAATGTTTCATTTATAGGGACAACCTGTCTATAAGTAAATACTAACACACACCTCAAATATAAATATATATATATATATATATACATATAATATGAGTAACTTCTCTACTGTGTCTGGCTCTTAGCCTCAAGCCTGTTTATTCCCACTCAAGACATAAATCTTTAACAATGAAGGCCACAAATACATTGTTGTTTTTTCCCCAATAGTCCCCAGACACAGAAGTTTTAGCAAAGGTTACTAAAATGGCAGTAAATATAGCATTTGTTACAAGTTATTTTCTGCCACTGTTTTTTTAAAGCAAACATGAAGGACAAACATAAACTAACGGTGACGTGTGAAGTCAGTAATTTCAGCTGTCTAAGTGCGTGTTCGTGGAGAGTGTGTATGCAGTGTTGTATAGTGAGAAAACAAACCAGAACTGTCAGCAAAACCAAAAGGAGCATCTATCCATCTAATACTATTCAGAGGGCATTTTTTCAACACACAGGGCCAGTGTTGTTGTGGCCTCAGGTTTTTCCCCTCTGCCTGACAACTCTGTGCCTCACCCACCTCCACATCTGCAAGGGAAGCAGGTGAAAAGCTGCCAATTTAAACGCAACGGTTGAATTTCTTTAAAAAAAAACCTGCCCTGTCAATTTCCTGCTCATCGTTCTGCATTAACACGGCTCCCGCTCCTACATGGCTAGCTTCCACCTCAATGTCGTGCTCAGCCCCGTTAGTAGGGGAAGGTACGTCGCCAAACAAGTCTGGAGACTCCAAAATCAGCTCGTCCGGACTCTCAATTGTAACTGCTGCACTTCAAGTGCAGCAGTTACTTGAAGAGTGAGCGTTACAGGGTTTCAGCGAGTTGAACATGAAACAATTTGATAGGTTTGATAGGCCACTGTTGAAACCAAGTGATTCTTGTCAGAGATGCATTTGATCACTGCAAACGGATCAGAAAACCCACTAATGGACAAAGAGCCAAAACTTGATCACCGGCACTGAGCTCATGGATCTCTGCTTGGAGATCATACCTCTTCTTCATTTTAGCTTGTGATGCAGCCAACATTTGTATTGCTAACTCCCCTGCAGAATAAAGTTGATTCCTGAAACCCATTCACGTAATCAATTAGGTTGATGAGTGGATCTGACTCTGTCCAACCATCCTTAAACACTGTCCTTAAACCCCGGATAGGTTGGCCAATCACTACATCATTTGGACTAAAGCCTGACTGCTAACAGCTCCCATGGTGGATCGTGTTCCCAGTCTCCATCTAGCTCAGTGCACAATGAGCAGACGACTGGTTATGTCTAATTCTCAGCAGTTTTAACACTTGGACTATGAGGTGAGAAAATAAATTGGTTCCCTGGTCCCTTCGTATGACTCTAGGGATGCCAAGGGTCAACAGTCATGCCAACGGTCATGAATTGCGACAGGGCCTTTACCACAGTTTTGCCAGTTATTGTTTGAGCCGGCTGCTGGGTGCCTCGTGCGTTGACACATGACAGTTAGCAAATAGTGGCTTCCGGACTTTGCACGGGGCAGCGGTCAATGATTAGGTACTCAAACAGCTGACTGAATCGGCTCCAGTATACAATATTGCCACGTCGAATATCGCGATACTATGCTGTATCGATTTTTCCCCCACCCCTAATTGTTTGTTGGAGCAAATGAATATAACACCCAGTTTGATGACGAGGTACATTGATATCTTATTTATACTTTTATAAACGGACCTCTACCCAAACACAGACTTAGATAAATTAATTGTTGGCTTTTTACCTTTTAGAGGATTTGAGAATATTGCCCATTAAAAGCTCCATTCTTTGAATAGTCGAAAATACTTATTGCGTAATTAAAAATATGTCTTTGAGAAAGAACTGATAAACTTGAGCTGATCCCTGAGGTATCCAGGTCTATTGTTAGAGATTTGATCGTGACTTTTGTTTTTGAGTCCCATTTACAAAAAAACGGTAACCCCAGTAATTTTGTCCCAACAGCTGCACATTGTTCACATGAAGCAGCATTACACTGATCTGACAACAGCGCTGTCGGACCCGGAGGGAGTGGCTGTCCTTGGGTTCTTCTATGAGGTAATCATATTGTTGACGGCATCGAAATCAAACTGCTACTACAGAACAGACCTCAAATCAGTATGAAACAGTGTGTATTTACATCCTCAGAGGTCCACCAGTGCCAACCGGAAGTACGAGCCCATCATTAAGGCTCTGCAGAACATCAAAGCTGCAAGTACGTAATCAAAATAACCAACGTGAGACATTGCTGCACAGCAAGGTTGCTGATGTTCCATCTTTGTTTCTCTCTTTTCAGATGGAAATACTTCTTTAAATTCCATCTCCCTGGCCCAACTGATCCCACCTGAGAAGAATCTGACCACATATTACCGCTACAAGGGCTCTCTGACCACCCCAGGGTGCACCGAGGCTGTGATTTGGACTTTGTTTGAGAATCCCATCCCTCTGAGCGTGGAACAGGTTAGAATTATTGACCGGAGAAGTGAAGGAATGTGAGGAGATATTCCTGTTAAATCTACAGCCATTGAACGTTTCTTTGAATGGTGCAGAATGTATTTAGATCCCCGACTAAGTTTTAAAGAGTTCAAAGAAAATGAATGAGGTCTTTGAATAAGACAAGAACTGTTGTTTGTACAGTTCTCTAATCCTAGTTTTTTCTTAGACATAGTGAGCTTTTTCACCTCTGTGTGCTTCCATCAGGTATTTAAAGGGGGGATCTATTGGAATTTGCGGGATCTCATAAACATTTTGAACTTTGACAAGGGGCCCCATCTGGACACTGTCCTTTTGTAAGGGGTCGCATAACATTGGGTAACTGCTGGTGAACAATGTATGGTATTTCAATAAGTAAATGCTTAATCAGTAAAGTAACTTGTAATAATGCTGTCAGATAGAGGAGCAAGCTGAAAATGAAAAGGCTCAAAGTAGAAGTTCTTCAATAATGTATGGCATGAGCAAATATACAAATTGAGAAAAAAAACTTTGTCTCAGTTGGGCTCGGAAAGATTACACACCTCCAGGATCGCTTTCGACATTCTGGTTCGTAACATTTGGGTTTATCTTGTGTTCCTCCAGCTGCGGGCGTTCTCTGAGCTCAAATTCCAAAATGGGAAGCAGATGGTGGGCACCTTCCGGCCGGTGCAGCCCCTGAACGGTCGGCAGGTGTTTCGGTCGGGAGGCGCAGCGATCCTGGCGAGTTCCGCCCTCCTCGTGGCCGCCATCGCCATGGCCTTCGCACTGTCCCCAGTCGACTAACGGCGAGGCGTCCCGTGCTGCACTGCGACCTCCACGGACACTAAAACGTTTTTTCGTCCCTCCTCAGCTGAACTCCCGTCTGTAACATCTTCATCGCATGGTCGCTAAGATGATCGACCCCGTCGTAGTGCAGTCATGCCTCTCCTGGTGTTCCTCCCTAACAGCACATATGACAAAGGCGTTCGAGGAGCGCCTTACGAACTGTGCTGTGAGGGTTTGGTCAGCGTCCGTGCATGCGTAGTGAGGCAGTAGATCTCATTTCAGCGTTATGAATGAGCCGTGAAGCGAGTCATCAAGGCCTCAAAGCACCAACTGAATTCACAACATTAGATCCAGCGGTCATGCCCTCATTTTCCCTCACATTGTCATCCCATAAAAGCCAGCGCGCCGTCGTACACTTCCTCCTTGGCCAATGTCAGGTAAATTTAGTCTGCATGTCAGTGTGAGTCGCCATTTTTTTTTTTGCACTCTGTGAAACAAGATCAGCCCCATGACCCGGGTGACGTGAAGCGCTGTGCTCAGCAGGGCACGTGAACGCCACCGAGCTATTAATAGCAGAACAGAGTGAAACAAAAACGCTGCATTTGCAGGCGAGGGGGTGTGAGGTCTTGCCTTTAGGACCGTTTCCACCCAAAGTTAGAGGCTGCTGACACCTGACACACGGCTGAAGCAGCAGAGATGGTAAAGCTGTCGAGTGCGGGACAGTTTCAGAGGGAGGAGGGAGCATCCACGGAGGGAGAAGATGAGAAAATCCCCCCACGTTGTTATTTTCATGCATCTTAGACATGGGTCGCATGGATCTGTATGTCCTGATGTTCCAGATGTTCCTAAAGAGTGTGTATAAGTGTACATGCTAGAAAGATTCATACAGACCCACCCCGGCCACTCCATGTCTCCTTTTGGACCTGTGAAGTTCAGTGAGCTTGTCTTGAGAACATTTGACTGTGTTGATGGTTTGTATTACATGGTTTCAGATGCACTGAATGTTATCGACTGTGAATTACACCCCACTGAGTCCTCACTCATTTATCCAGGACTTTGTTATGTATTCTAGCGAGAGATCTGTGCAATTTGCGAGAAGGTTTCGCTGTGAAGACCGAACAAGGAATTTGTATATTTTCCATGGTTTCATAAGGCAGAGTTATATTTCTATTCTCTGTCATTGTATAGTCATTTATGTACTGAATGTGTATATTGATAGGAGACGTACAGTCATTGTTATTTATGTATTGCAGAAGTTTATATATATTACCGAATGCAGAACCATATGTGAAGCATCATGTTGTCCACAAGCAATGAAGTTGTCTTATGCTGTAATACTTGAAAGTGTCATGGTGAATGTTTTCCAACTGAACAAATGAATAAACTGCGTATATACCTTTTTATTGGACACGAGCACAGTTCAAATCATTCGAGCCAGTGATCAAAACAGTATTCGGCCCTGGCATCTCTGCAGTGTAAGAAACTGATGTCTGGCCCAGCTGTTTGTCTGCTAGCTCAGAGACAGGGACAAGCGTCTCACTTTTCTTCCCAATTCCCCTTCGTTCTGTCAGGAGAGTCTGAGGGCGCTCATGGTTGCAAATCCCTAATCCTATTCTAAATGACTTGTCCTTGATGTGACGGAGGAGATTTTTGGCCCGTGTTCACAAACACACGCATGCTCACGCACATGCAGTAGGAGGTCGTCAGACACAGTTGACTACAAAAACTACCAAACATGTTTCAAATCTTGTTACGGCTGCACACATCTTTCCCTTTCTCACCGGCTCTGAGACTGCAGGTGATTTCTCAAACTTCCTCCCCTTTCAGGGTAACTTTATGACCCCCATCCCCTTTCCTTTCACCTCACCCCATCCCCATTAAGGAATCAAAAGGTTTATTGTGACGGACAGGCTTAGAAGGACAGCCTGCCTTCACGCACACATGCATGCAGACGGACAGAGACTACGGTCAAGAGCTTGAATGAAAGCCCCACGTTCATTCCACTGCTCTGGCTTCTATTGTTGCTTCAGTTAAGCATCTGGAGGGTTCGGGGATCAAAGGGTGGATCCTTAATATCTTGCAGGGGTACCTTGGTCTGCTAGTCAGGCGTCCAGGACAGCATCTATCAGCCTCACCATCTCCTATATGTCCCTGGGGTCTCTAAGACAAAGGGCACCATTCTCCCCGGGAGAAACCAGAGGCATCCTCATGTGACCCGCTCTGAAACACACGCAGCCTCCCATCAGATATCCAGCTGCAGTTAAAGGTCACTGGGGTCGATCTTTGTCAATGTGGTGGAGAGAAAAACAAACAGCGTCACCTTTACTGCCTCCCTATGTGGGCGCCTATTTCCTCCATCACATGCAGTGCATTGATGGACGCTGCCAAGTGTGCGTCGCTTCTACCAGCTGAAATATCTGTTCCCCCGAATAAACCACACTCAAATCCGATTGATACACCTGCTAATGTAGTTATTGTGCTGCGGTGATGTAGCTCACAGAGGTGTCTGCCGGCTGTGGCGGTCATGATGTAGCGTAAGCCGGCGATGGATAGTGACTCTATAGCCCGACGGACGAAACCATCAAAGAGTGCCAAACATTTATTTCCTCCTAAATTGAACTGTGGCTATGAGTTGCTTTGTCCTTTTGCAATGGCTTTCATTCATGGAAAATTGTAACAAAACAGTGGGGGGGAACAATAGCTGCTAATATATTGTGGGGCAGCCTTCTTATAACAGCCCCAACACTGTTACAGCCATTAGCTACATTTCCCATCAGTGGGAATAATATCGGATGACATCAGTTTACATCCAGTGCTGTGATGGATGCCGAGAATTAATGTGAAGCAACTGAAAGCATTTGATCTCCCAGAGCAGGCCAACGAGTAAATCACTCGGCTTAACTTCTTCCCTTTAACAAAACTTCCAGTTTCCATTGAAGGGCACGCAACAGGTCGCCATGGTCAAAACCCACACAACATTCCCAAGACGAGCGATGGTGCCTTTGCCCATGAGCCTCGTTTGAACCCTAATAAGTTGTCTGGTTCTTTGAGATGTGCCGGTGTCGGGCCGATAAAAGCGGAGTCAGTAACACAGACAGACTTGGCTCTGCAGCCAGTCTGTGAGAGTCAACTAGAGCAATAATTAACCACTGTAATCCCTTCTAAGAGCAGCAGTTTGGGGAAAGTGATCCTGCTTAGTCCGGCCCACTGTAGACAGTCGTTAATGATGGGGGCAAAAGAGGTGGATGTACTGATGGGAAAGAAAGCCACATCACTCTAATAAAGTATTCAATTCATTCTATTTTTTATAGCTCAAAATCGCAAATTACAAATTTGCCTCAGAGGGCTTCACAGTCTGTACACATACAACGTCCTCTGTCCCGAAACCCTCACATCAGCGCAGGAAAAACTGCCCAAAAAATGAAAAACCCTTCCATAGGTGGAGGACTACAATGGATGTGTACAGAATGAAAAATGTAAAAGATGTATAATACATTCAGTTCCTATGACAGAAATAAATAAAAAATAATTGTCAGTAGCAAGCCAGGTGCACAGCAGGACCACTGCAGGGGCAACCACCATCAGATAGAAACACCATCCACAGAAGCCTGTGGGGAGCACAAAGACTTCAGGAGAGGGTAATGTTGGTCTCCATCAGTGTAGTGGCCACACTGAATAAAAATCTTCAACAAGTGCGTGGGAATGCTGAAAAAAGATATGTGGACCTGGACCCTCAGATTGCTGGTCTCATTTTAGCTGTTACACAGAACAACTGTGCGTATTGAGCTCTTCATCAGAATCAGCTAAGGAATCTTCCACCCTGCTGAAGACCTTGATAGGCTAAAGTACAGAGGGGTTTGGAAGCGCTTCAGGCGGCGTGTAGGTCAGTGAGTTTGAGACGTAGCATGGACAGGAAAACCGAAGACTTTGGGAGCTCTGAAGTAGATACCGGCGTTTCCCACTTGAGAAACCAATAAACAAAAACAGAGTGCTTCCCTTTTCTCATCAGTGCTTATTTTGCTATGCACAACTATTGTGAAGGCCACAAAGAAACTGTGAACGATCTAAAGCATAAATGCTTTCCAGCGAGACTTTAGCTGTCTGGCAGAGTTACAAGTGTGAGAACAGAAACTCAGGGGAAACCAGTGCAAGACATGTTTTGACCAACTTATTGACCCGTATTCTAGAAAAAGTAATCTAGTAATGCGCGTGTGAGCGAGAACGGGCAAGACCTGAAAAATAAAACATATAGAAATTCTTAAACATCAAGTATAAAATGTAACCCTATTCTTAAAGTTGAAACCTGTAAATAAACTGGATGGTACGGTGGTTTTAGTAGGCATGCTATCCATGAAAAGGCCCCTTATTCCATTCATTACTGACGTATTTCATATCTCAGAGTAATGATAGGGACGTGACAGTGTGACCGTTCTCTCGTAGTGTCTGGTTTAAGCATAGCAGTATATGTGTACATATCGATAGGACACTATCACGCAATAGAAATGAAATACTGAAATTCCTGATATGTCTGAGAGCCACAGCAAAGATATGATACAAATTTACCCCAGGCAAATTTGCCCCGATGGTAAAACATAGTTGAAGAAATAGGATACACTTGAATATCATTCCTCTAGGATATTGCATGGAAAGAAACAGAAGAAAAAAAAATATGCGCAATGTTACGTGTGAGGAAACCGTTATCATTGCACTTTCGTTGTGAAAGTGACACTCCGCGCTGACCTGAGAGCAGACTTGGACCGGCGTGGCGTAGATCAACAGGAAGAATGCTCAGGCCGGGGTGACAGACAGTCCCCTTCTCACAGAAACAAAGCTACCGTAAGTACCAGCGCTCACAAAGAGCCGGTGGCCGACATGCTTCAGTCATTCTATTTCTGACAACAATGTTATTTGGCTGCATTGTTCTGGCGGTATTGGCCAGTGTAGTGGGTGAGGGGTCTTGTAAAAACAAGAACATTGATGTGAAGCTTTATGTTGACCCCACATTTTCAGTTTAACCAGATTTTATGCTAAAGCAGAATAAGAGGTCTGATTATGTAGTAATTATCACATTAAAGATTTTTAACATAACAGTTCTTGGTGAAATCAGGAAAACGGAAATCCTGGCAGTTTTAGAGGAATTACATCCTGTTCAAAGGCCACATTGAGTAATAGTTTTCAATCAAATTCCCAAATCCACCCAAGGATGTGATGATGCACATTCTATTATGTACCAAATGGGAATAGCGTTTACGGTCATAGGACTGCAGATACAATTCATTCAAGCCCTGTTCGCCCAGACACTGTGAGGAAGCAGCCGCCACTTTCATTTATTTATTAAATTGAATTCCAAGTTGCCCGACCATCCACAATGACAATGAGAGGCTGAAGTCTCATGGTGCATCAGAACAAACCCCCCACCGCCTACCAGCCACCCATCCACCCACCGTCCACACTTGGCACCTCGCCTCCTTCCCTCCAGCCTCCTCCCTCACACTTCTCTACTGCTCCTCCAAGGTAAATAAAGCCATTCTCTGGCGAAAAAAAAAACAGCTAAACAAATGTTTGATGTAGAATCAAATGCTGTTTATCTTTTTCAAGAATTAATATTTATATTTTTGAAGGAAGGAGACAGACAGCAAACTGCCAGATGAGGCAGCCTGACCTCCAAAACCTGTTCGTTAAAAGGTGAATAGGGACCTGCACCCCGTAAACACACTTTGTGAAGTCTAACGATGTAAAATAAACGTGTTATGATTGCATTTTTAACGAGAAATCAATGTTAGATTGTAAGAATAGAATACTAACCCTAACCCCCTCAAAAAATCCAACATGGCGGAGAGACGTTCACTCAAGAATCCAACATGGCGGAGAGACGTTCACTCAAGGGGCGTGGTTAACAACCGGCAGTTAGTATGTATTGTTACGAATTTCTATGTCAGATATTTCGTATACATTTTTACGAACAGGTTTTGGAGATCACGTTGGATGAGGAGATGAGAGGACAAGAGACAGGAGACGGAAATGTCCTTGATTTAAGCAGTGCAGAGCTCTGGTCACTTGGGCTCAATATGCTTAGCTTTGGGTTTTCAACAATGACTTCCAGTATTTATACGCATTTTAAGTACTTTTAGTTTACACTAAAGTTACACATTAAGCTAACTTTAGTCGCTAACTTTGTCTGGCCTTTGGGACTGGGCGGATGTGTAGTGGTGTTAGCGGTTTGAGTTCCCCGAGTCCAGATGGTGGACTTTGTGGTGAAACTAAACAATACAGTGCATTTGACAGTAAAACCCAAATAATGAGAAGATAAAAAAGCTCCGGCTCAAGACCAATCGGCAATTGTGTCTTTACAAAGCTAAGATAGTTATTAAGGAGTTGAGATTGACAGAAATAGGCTACATCAACGCT